GCACGGTACATAATACTTCCCTTAGAAATCACTAAGTATGGAATTGTATTTAATTGACATAATAGTGATCGTATCTTGCTATATTTTTAATAAATATCCTTTTTTGAGTATTTTAAGTGATTTTTAACTATTTTTTATCAATTTTTGGTAATATCATTTTCTCATACCAACACTTATATTTCTTAAATTTAAGTATATATTATTAACTTTTATTGTGATTAAACGTTCTTAAACGTTTTATTTTCATCTTAATTGATCTTTATTATGACTAATTAATAATAATATTTATTATTATTAATAGGTCGTTACAACTGGAATAGGATTTGTAAAATTTATTGCGATAATATCAATAAAACATATATTACAATGTTAGTAAAATACATACAGACGTTTCGAATTTATTGTATAAAAGTATTTTTTCATAGGACATTTATTTACATTAATAATATTATGTCGTTAGGATTTTGTAAATATAATGTTTGCTGTAATTAAGCAAATTGCTTAATAGGTTATGTTTCTTAATTATTGAAAAACAATAAATACCGAACCACGGTTTAATATGTTTAATTTTTTTTTTCTATCAAAAAGTTTTATACCTATAGTAATTTTATTCGGTGTGCACATACCCTTTTCAGGCAGAAATCGTTATCGACGGTCAAATTCATTGTTTATTGCCCCCTTGTTTATACTGATATGAGTTATCTGCCAGTGAAACAACCGCGCATGTCGTAAACTAACAAAATTATATCTTTAGTGCCTATACGCAAATTACGAAGCAGATTATCTGGTAGTTTCAAAATGGCCCCGATGTCAAGGATATGTTCCTATGTGTGTTTGTTCTCATTATAGGTCTCCTTTAATTTAGGTAGATATTAGTAAACTGCATTAAAAATAAAACATTTTAGTAACTAAAAACAAAACTGAATTCAAACATCTCACTCACGATACATTTTCACTTTAAGCCTTTGAGGAATTCCCTGGCGTGGATATTCTCAAGGATGAGTAAGTTCTTATTATAGGAGTCCTTTAGTATAGGTATTAGTTAACTGAATTCAACGAAACATGTTTCAACAAAAAAAAAAGCTGACTTCAAACATCTCCCTCACGATACTTTTTTTTATTATGAGCGACGTCAACCCTCCTTTGAAATACACACACAAATCCGGAACAATTACACTCTGTGGGCCACACAAAATACTTGTGCCGTGTGGGAATCGAACCTACGACCCCCGTGCCGAAGCCAATAGTTTCTTAACAACTCATAAAATATCATTGTAGATATCGAAACCCTTGAAAGTATTTGAAGCAAGACTTTATTTAGGTACAAGTATATTGTCATTTGATTCACGCGATACTTAAAATGACGTTACATAAAGTATACACAATAAATATACGAGAAAAACTCCAAGTTGTTACACGTCCTTTATGAGCAACAATTTATTTATATAACAATTGTCGACGACTGCTGGGAATCAGAACGGATCGAGGATTATATTACAAGTCAGTTACCGAGGATTTCTTAGTGTTGATTGGCATACGTAAGAAAGAAGTTATATTTAGGGAAGGTGAAGTTTAAGTCGTTAAATACCGTCATTAAGATAAGGATAGAAAGAGGTTTAATTAAGATTTAGATATGCAGGTATGTCGGGCTGATTGATCGTCTCAGATCCCATAAGATTTGACCATTAATTTACGACAAATAGAGATTCACTGCAAATAATTACTCGATAATTCTACCGCAAGTCGTGATGAAAAAGGCCTTTTAATGTAGATCATTGAACCGTAAAGTATTTTCAGTTTGAGCCCTGAATCTTACAATATTTTATGTTTTTAATAGAATAGCCTCGGTGATTTTTAAACGATTTTTTTTCTCAGTGTAAATAAAAATTGTTCCGCGTTCGCTCCTTCTAATAAAATGAACTATGGATATTGAAACCATTGTATAGACGTAAACTAGGACTTGGAAACAAATCATAATAACAGTTTCCAATACATGTATGAATAATTATTTATCTACTCTAAGACATCAGTGGCCTTGTCGTTATAGGCTTTGATTTAACGTTGAGAATGCGATACTCAATGTGAATTTCAGACATTTTAGTGTAAAAATCACAGTATCCATTTTATGATCGGTATTTCAGCAACTGCCCTAAAATCGATTTGGGACTTAGAAAATTTAATCATACAGAAATAGAACTACCTGCCTCTAAAGGGCGTAAAAGTTTGCAGTGAATCTCTATTTGTCGTAAATTAATGGTCAAAGCTTAAGGGATCTGAGACGATCAATCAACCCGACATACCTACTGTTGGCGCTGGCAACACTGTATACCAGATATGACGTTATCTACCCGAGCCAAGGGACTCATGGTCACATGGAGCAGCGGTCACTTGGATTTCGGTCGCGTTCCCGGACGGTTATATAACCACTAGTGCTGCTTGTCATTATAATAGTTTTTAATATTCACGTTCAGTAATAGTTAAAATATTAGGATCAAGGTAAAATCGTTAGAACTCTTATACTACATATCTAAACCTTAATTAAACTTCTTTCTATCCTTATCTTAATGACGTGATTTAAGGACTTAAACTACACCTTCCCTAAATTTAACTTCTTTCTTACGTGTGCCAATCAACACTAAGAAATCCTTTTAAATAATTGCTTCACATTTTTATGTAGAGTACTAAAACTGTAATAATAGACTACTAAAAATGTAATTACTTAACATTTTTATGTAGTCTATTTTTAACCTAAGTGATTGTAAATTACATTTTACTTAATAAGTATTTAGCTGGGAATGGACCTTATTTCTAATGATGACGTGGTTATGTCAAACTTTAGATAATTTTAGACCTCAGGCGAAGAAACAAACTATTGCCCTCTTGTTAACAAAGACAAACTTACGGGTTGCAATAATTGATAGAAAAACTTTAATAGAAATTAAATACCTCGAAATTACCAATTCGATTATTCTTTTCAATCTTACCTTATTTACACTGTGTCCTCTTCTTCCTGCATAATACGAAAAAAAATTACACATGCAAAACACGCAAATACAATAGAAATACTTTTGTTTTAAATAATTGACTAAGAAACTATGGTGGGCACTATGGTTTTTTTGTGATGTGATAAACTAGAAAACGAGCTGGTGGCTAACCTGATTTTAAGAGATAACCGCCGCCCATGGACATTTGCACCACCCGTAGAGTTGCAAATGCGTTGCCACCTTTAAATAAAGTGGGTCCCGACTACCTCATTCACCAGACCAAACGCAGAAGTGTAACACTTCTACTTCACGCCGGTCTTCTATGAGGTCGTGATACTTAACCAGACGTAGGTCCGTCTATTACCCATTCGTTTAACAGTGAACACTGTTTCGTACCATACAATACCCATATTTGGTCTTCAGGTCCCATAAGCACACAGCATATATATATGTATATAATCGGTATGTCGGCTCCATTATAAATATCATTCGAATATGACGGTAAATTTCGCCGAAAAAAAATGTTATAATAGCTCAGGTAATCGGTTGACCCTGAAACAGAAGGCCGCGATCATTGCTTTCTTTATTATTTATTTTTTTATAATTTTTTTTTTTAATTTCCAAAATACACGATTTACTAAAAAAAATATATCCTCCAGGTACTTATACATATACGAGGTAGATATAGTTAGCACCGCAACTGAGGCACTCAAATTACGCCAATTGGTATAATTAGATTACAATTTTATAAACTGCTATATCTTTTCGTATCATACGCTCCATATCATCCGTCACATTCACATATATATCGTATAATATAAAGCGGAACAATTTTTAAACGCTACGCAGTATGGACATTCGTCATCTTTATTAAAACATCATTGTTGAGATCAATGTTGTATGCAATATGACAGGCTAGCTAGTAGGTCATAATAAAAAAATAAATGTTATTGCTTTTTCGTATGTCGAGAGCCTTGGGAGCCTACTCTACTTAATATTCCTTTCATTTTTACAATGATTTAATGTAATTGGCATTATTCTGATACCTATATTTTACATCAGCAGGATACTAAAAGATTTCTGAACATTGATATTTCGTTGGCTAGGTGTAACGCTGTCTGAGTAAACAAAGAGCCGTGGTGTATACCCAGTGTGTACGCCCAGATCCAGACAAAGAAACATGCGGACTATGAGAACAAACCTTGACAGACCACTGTCCTTACTCCGTTGCAAATCACCTTTATAATTTTGGTATAAGTCCCGTGTATACACCCATATACATTTAATAAAAAGCGGTTATGTCAATCTTACAAACAGACACTCCAATTTTACTTGTCTGTATAGATGAAAGTGTTGGCTGATGTTAAGTGATTACATCCGCCATTGGAGGTCTACAGCATAAGTGGCGTCGCAGATGTATTCATCAGGCAAAAGATCATCATCCGCCAGCCCTTATTCCACATAGGCGGGGTTGGCACAACATGTGAATCATGCTGTAAGTGGTTTTCGCTGTATTGTTTACGACCGACCGCCTGCCTGACGTCAATCCGTCCTTGGGAAACAAACACTACATTCACACAGGGAACCGGACCCACAACCCCAGACACCGAAACCAATAGCTTAGCAAACTACGTCACCGATTCATCATTCATCAGACGAAACACAAAAGTATAATTTATTTACATCGGGGGGGGGGGGGGGGGGGGGGGGGGGGGGGGGGGGGGAGTAACTATGACTCGCTTAAGTATGACATTCCGAGCCCATCACTTGAGCCTAAGGGGGGAGATTGTTGTGTTTCCTCCCAGTTCGGGGTTGCAGTGGGGAATGCTGAGAGTTGCCAACCGCTCATCGACTTCCCGTCCTCTGCTCCCTAGGCTGTCAACGGGTTCTTTTCTGCTTAGGTGTACCATCCTTGCAATAAAGAACCAACTAATGCGGGAGGGGGTGTGTTAGAATTATTGCTCTCTTAGTGGCTGTGGTGCTGCTAAAGAATCATTGGCACACCCTGGATTTCTTATGAGGCGAACCGCGCACTTTCCGCCGGTAACTGTTGTCGTGTTTCACGACGATGGAACCGGTCAGGCTTGTGACCAGGTTTGCTGGGTCCCCGGACTCAGTATACGCAGCGTCCTTGTAGGGCGTAACCTGGGCATGGTTCAGGGTGACACTCCCCCGATAGTCAATGGGTGGCCATACGTGGTCACAAGTCTAGCTGCTTCTCCTAGGTTGGCACAAACGATAGCAGTGGGCGCAACCGGGTGCGTGGGACAACGTCTCGTTCATCCAAGGGCTTCAGGCCAATTTGGGGGGTCAAGTCCCGCGTCTTCTTCCCTTCCCCTATACTCCCGCCAAAGTGGGGAGCTTGGCCCCAGGGTCTAATCGGGAGAAAGCTCCTATGCTATACCACCACTTAGGTAACTCAGGGCTACTGCCAAGCCGACAGATCACAATAAATGTTGCTAATCACGATGGTATCATGGTCGGCTTAAGGGTGGTTTTCTGTGAGGTGGTGATGCCAACATCAAAACTCTGATACTTATTTTACATTTCTATTTGTATCTAGACACTGATAGCGGTAAGTCCTTCGCCTAGGCTCTATCTATTTCAGATAGAATCAACCCTAAACTCGCCCCCAAATCCCTGTTCTATCCTCAAGAATATTTCGAAGATATGTGAAATCCGCCAACCCGCAGTGCCGCCGCGTGGTAGACTATGCCCTGATACCCTCTGTACAGAGGAAGCCTTTGCCCGGCAGTGGGACATGTATAGGCTGATACTTTTACTTTACCCAAAAAGTAAAATGGATTTTTTTTAACAACCTTATTAAACATAATACAATTTTGAGTTATTTTAAGGACATACATTTCTTTTTTTTTTTTTTCTGTATGGTATTTATACATGATGCGAATTGCGAATAGACTTTTTTCATTTGAATAGTTGGCAAGCGAGCGGGCAGTTCACCTGATATTAAGTGATTACCGCCGCCCATGTACATCTACACCACCTCAGGGGTTGAAGTTAGTTAAAAACACTAGACTGTAGTTACCTCACCTTAATACCAGAAGTACTAAGCTACTGTGTTTACGCTTCTTCTGTGAAGCTAGGTACATCTGGAGGAGCCTGCTTATTCGCGCAGCAGAGGAAGCTGTTGAACGGCTCTCCAATAGAAGTATGTAAAATGGTGAAGGAAATAAAGCTACAAACCCACAATCTTATGCGTGTACATACATACAACGTAAATAGATGCTATATAAAAGCGAAATCACTGTAACACGTTTCCGTTGCATTGTCGTCCAATGCATTTAAATACCCCATAGTCGTGCCTAATGAATAGTTTTCCTTCAAAACAAACGGTGGTACTATAATAAATTTGGGCCTAAATGTTAGATACCTATGCTTCGAACATACCTTAAGTTAATAAACACACACACACACTTGTATATAATAAAAACCCGCTATTCTTTATTTATATTTTTTTTTATTAATAATATTTAATTAGGGGGTTTGAGGGGTTTTTGAATAAAACTTTAGGGACAAACATTTTCGAGGATTGGTAACACTGAGCAGCCCACTGAGCTGTCAAATCTTCTGTCAATATTCTTTGTTTTGACGTTTAAAATTTGAATAATAATTTGTCTTCGTTATATTAACATTAATTTACGCATAATTCGTATGCTTCTAAAATTTGTTGTATATATTTCCGAATAGAATTGAAATCAGTTGAAATGTCTTTTACTAAAAAAGATGTAACTCTCTCTGAAGATCGTCCAAAAACATTACTCCTACAAAAACATTCAGATTACCTTGCCAGCTACGGTCTCAACAAAGATGATTATGAGTATTGTATGACAGAATACCTTCGTATGTCGGGAATATACTGGACGCTTACTGCTTTGGAACTAATGAATCAGTCTTCAAGGTATTTGAATAAAATTCACATAGAATTTTTTATCACATAGAATTTTTTAAATATTCACCAAGTTTTTAATCATATTGTATATTTTGGCTTAGTTTCAAATGATTTTCATGTTGAATGTCCCTCATTGTAATTCATGCGTTAATTAAATTTGTAAACATATTTCTTCTGTTACACTGGAATAATGAGGTAAAAAAAAATTGGATTTATCTAAAAGACCATAGAATCATGCGCCCTCCGTACAATAATATGTATCGCATTTTTCATTCTTCTAGATTGCAAAAGGAAGAAATTATAGAGTTTATCACATCTTGTCAAGATAATGAAAGTGGAGGCATATCAGCCAGTATTGGTCATGATCCACATATGCTTTACACTTTAAGTGCAATACAGGTAGCCAAATTTATGATCACCTAATAAACTACTTTTTGTAAAAGCATTTATATGCATAAAAAAACGCGTACCTAAACAAATAAGTGTAAATTACAAAAAATTAACTAAGGAAACAAAAATGGAGGGAACTTTTAAGATGTAATTTGGACTAAGCTATAAATTTAATAAAGTGCAAGTAAAATAAGTAAAATAATGTATTGCAAGTTGTATTAAATTTTTATGTGGTAATTATATATAGCCATTGCGCATCAGAAAGAATCTCTGTAATAGGAATGATGGGTGTGGATATTACCATGTATGTACATAGAAACTCACATTTTGTTTGTATTACATTATTATTCTATTATAATATTTTAATTTTAATACTAGATAATTTAAAAATAATGTATGTTCAGGTACTTGCACTGTATGATAGACTTGATGCAATTGATGTTGAAGGTGTTGTGAGATATGTGGCTTCCCTTCAACAAGAAGATGGCAGCTTCTTTGGTGAATATTGTGTTCCTTTATTTATTTACTATCTTGTATGCAATATGTAATGAATTTGTTTGGGTCAAAACATATTTTCAATATTCTCTCTATACACAATTATATACAATGTAATGAATGTACTTTAACAGTGATAGTTACCTTATCTTTTTATATATTTTTTTATTTTATTCTTTAAAAACAAAAGATCAAAATTACTATGCACAAAATACAAAAATATTTTACAAAATTGAAAGCTTTTATATTAATTAATGCTTGCTAATAATTAATAAAAAAATTACTCTCTTCATTCTTTAGGTGACAAGTGGGGTGAAGTGGACACAAGGTTTTCCTTCTGTGCTGTGATGAGCCTATCCATATTACATCGCTTAGATGCAATCAATGTTAATAAAGCTGTGTATTTTGTTCTAAGTTGTATGAACTTTGATGGTGGTTTTGGTTCGAAACCAGGATCTGAAAGCCATGCAGGTATTTTTTTGATATGCCACAGTTTAACAATTCAATAAATGATTGTGGGTAAATTAGTACAATAACAATGAGTAATACACTTAACAGGTCTCATTTACTGCTGTGTGGGAACATTATCAATTTGCAAAAGGATGGACGCTTTGCATGCTGATGAGCTCTCCTGGTGGCTTTGTGAGAGACAGCTGCCTAGTGGCGGACTTAATGGGCGACCAGAAAAACTTCCAGATCTCTGTTACTCTTGGTAAGATCAGACCTATTTGTGGCGATCAGTGAAAAATATTATATTATTAGCCTATTGTACATGTTTTTAAGTGTAAGTGATACATTTTTATTCCATGATGACCAGCAATTAAAAATGCAGAAAAATAATATTGGTGTGAAAACCTATTTTATCCCATTGTGAGGTAAATTATGACCATAAATACTTTTTATTTTTCTTTATAGTTGACATAGTCAGTCTTAATAATTCTGTCTATTTTTCATCAACCTGAAGTTTTATCTATTTAGTTTTTGCTTATTCAAAATCGTTATAATATATAAAACAATTCCTAAACTTTGTTTTTATGTTACAGGTGGGTCATGGCATCCCTGTCAATGTTAAATAGAATACATTGGGTTGATAAAAAAAATCTAGAACAATTCATATTAGCATGTCAAGATGCTGAAACAGGAGGCTTCAGTGATAGGCCTGGAGATATAACTGATCCTTTTCATACATTATTTGGTTTGGCGGGTCTATCATTATTAGGAAATACAAACATCAAAGCTGTTAACCCTACATATTGTATGCCACAAGAAACCATAGACAGATTAAAATTGGAACCGCAAATATTACAGATTTAGTCTTGGGTAATAAGTAATGCTTGTGGTTTTGGCATTGAAAAAAATTAATATATTACAGCATTAACTTAATGGTTATTTTTTCACAATTATAAAAAAATTGAAAAATGTTTATAAATTAGTAAAATTATATTATTTAAGCAGACCTTTAATAAAAAACCTATCAAATTGAATTTTTTTTCGTATACATTCCTGTAAGCTGTGAATTTATGCTAAGCAGTCTTTTTAAAAAAATAAAGGCAATCTTTATTAATGAAGTTTATTAGAATATAAATACCATATTTTTTTAATTTAAAATATGTTATTTTTAGTATTATTTATTATAAATAAATGTTTTTAAATATATTTACAATAAACATCAAAATTGTCTAACACCAGGCCTGCCATCTTACCCAAATTTAGGGCGTGAATATGCTTAGGGCCATGAATAATATTTATTTTTATTTTTACTGACCAAAGTGCGTAAAAAACCAAGTCCTTGAAATAATGTAATTAATGAAATATTAGAAAATATTGTGTTCTTTTGTTAATTATATCAACTATTTGTAATCCTAATTTTTTTTTTACAAATACTACCCTTTTAAATTTTTTGTACTTTATTTTTTATAATACCTAAATTCAATTCCACCCTGCTGACCAAACTACTGACAGTACAGACAAACTGTCAGTGTCACTGTCAAACAGATGAAATAAACTCGCAGAATAGAATGATAATAATGTTAGACCCTCCGGAATAGCTAGTTAAATTCTTTAACCATTAATATGTTGATTATTACAGATATAAAAAAATATTGAACCAAAATGGCGCAATATTTATAATGCCTCTTTTACTATTTACTTTATATATATATATATAATAGTAACCTGCAAAAGTTCAACAATTACTCAAAAACTATGTGGTTCCCATATTATTTACAGTTCCTTGTTTATTCATTAGGAGTAAACCTTTTTTTGTTATTTACGTGTATTATTTACTACACCGATGTACTGTTTACACATATCAATAAAAGTATATTAATGGAATATGATTATATTATAGGTAAGAATTAATATTTTTATTTGATGCGCGATAAAAGAATGAATCCTTTAAAATGACTCAAAATATAAGTATACTAGTTTTTTTTTATTTGATAGTATCTTCATCTAAATGAAATCTATTATAATTTATACTTCAATCTGGTCAAAACTTCTAGCAACTACAATTTATTTAAAATGTTGTCTATGTTATTTAGAGATTCTATTAACGTACCCGAAAAAACTTAATTAAACAGTTATGAAACCTGTACAGGAAATGTAAAACAACATTATATAAAATTAAAAGTGTTAGAACAATAAACCACTGAAAATATTTTATTTTTATTTTTGCTTGTAATATTTTAGTTCAAGTTCTAACTCATTTTATATATCAAGATACTAGAGATAAAGATCCTTTATTGAAAATTGAAATTGGCCACACTATGTCATACCTTAAAATAGAGTAATTTATGACTGCACTGGCTGATAAATAATTTCTATTAAACATGTTTGTAAATACTATTTTATTTACTGCTTCATTAGTATATTTTAAGGCTCATCGTGAGTGTTCAATTTCTAAATACACTGCAAGTTTTGTTTCTGTTGCATCGCAGATTTTTTGGTTTACAATATTTTCTATATTAGTAACAAAGCAAACACAACTAACAGCAACTATTGAAACAGTAACATGGATGACATTATTTAAAAGACCTCTTTGTTGTTATTAATAAGCACAAACCTAGGCATGGTTATGTTGTTTAAAATTTGGCAGTACTTCACTGTAGTAGAGCTACGACAGCTCTTGCTGCACATTTATTAACTAACTTAATAAGAAAGAACCACAGGCTCGCAGACAACAGACTAAAAGTAAAAGTATTTACACTGGTGTGTTCGCATTTGAAAAGTGAGGTAATGAAATAAATCCTTGCAAAGAAATTTTGTCATGCCTTTAAAGAAAAAAAGACAATCCCTCAAATAATATGTATATAACAAGACCATAAATTATTTATATTATTTTACGGTGGCCGGGCCACGCACCAGCCTCGGTACGAATGGGCAGGTTCGTCCGGATACTTTCGCATTTCGTCTGGTGAGTGAGGTGGCCGGAGCCTTATTTCCAAAAAGGTTCTCAACGCATCTGCAACCCTCGGGTGTAGCAGATGTCCATAGACGGCGGTATTCACTTAACATCAGGTGAACCGTATGTTCGTTTGGCAACTTTTCTCACAAAAAAAAATATTGTGAACTTCACCATTCATCCAGTATCCAGTTTATGTGCATTTAATTTTCAGTTGGCGCTGGAACTGCTGGATCGCTCATTGCCCATAGACTGGCCACTGAAAGTAACTTTACTTTTGTGGTGTTAGAAGCGGGCGGGGGCAGCCATCCACTTCTTGAAATACCCATTGTTGGCCCTCTTTTGCATGGTACCGTGTATGATTGGCAATACGAGACCACGCCGCAGGAGAACGCTTGTTATGCTATGGTCGATAGAGTAAGCATTAGCTATCTGTCTCGCTCTCCTTGTAAGCAAATACTCAGAATAATGTAAGAATCAATGAAAATATTGTATGCATGGAAATAAATATTTTGTAATCATCGTACGTAGCGGTATTAGGGCCACGCAACAGTGTTCACTGTTGCAAGAATCGGCCGTTCCGTCCGGGTTAGTACCACGACCTCACAGAAGCTCAGCGTTAAGTAGACTTACACTTCTGCGTTTCGTCTGGCGAGTGAGGTATCCGGGGCCCACTTTATTAAAAGGACAACGCATCTGCAACCCAACGGGTATTGTAAATGTCAATTGACGGCGGTTATCACTTAATATCAGCTGAACCGCCAGCTCGTATGCCACTTTGTTACAATAAAAAAAAATGCATCAAAATCATCCTCCTGAACTTATCCGACCTGGGTGAGGTCGGCACAACATGTGAATCAGTAAGTTTTTTTTACGACCGGCCGCCTGCCCGAAATCAACCGCCCTTGTGAAACAAACACCCAGATCCGGTATAATTATCTGTGGGTCACACAAATACTTGTGCCGTGTGGGAACCCATGACTATTCATGACAACCCTTATTCTAATCCTTGTAATCCAATATTAAAGTATTTAATCTTGGATTACATTAACCAGTATTTTAATCCAGTATTTAAGTCCAATATTAAAGACAAAATCGGTAATTTTTTTAATTTTAATTTATTGCTTGTGTCGGTGTAACAGTTTTATCAAATGTTACTGTCCTCACCAGTTGTTCTTAGTTTCCCCAAGCTGAAAGATATTACTCATGAATGAATCATGATTAATGCTGCAGTAGTAATTATAACGCTTTGTTTTATGTGGGAGGGGATTTAATCGTAAATAATTGTTCACCAGAAATGCAGACTTACACAGGGTAAAATCGTGGGCGGCTCGTCGAAACTGAACAACATGATCCACGTAAGGGGAAACGTTTCGCATTACGCCGATTGGTTCCACGGGAAGTACACACGTGAATATTTTCAGCGACAACTGGATTACGTAGAGGATAACATTTTCAATTTAGACCATGTACAATACCAAAGCGAGTTGACTGACGCTGTGTTAGACGCCGCCAAAGAGTTAGGTTACGAAAGTCTCGATGGGGTGTCTGAGAAAGGGTTCCGGCGGAGTAGAGTGACCCAGAAAGACGGGAAGAGATGGACGACGTCCGACAACCTCGACGTGAACAGGCATGTGATCAGCGATTCACTTGTCGAGAAAGTGCTGATTATCGATCGCAGGGCTTACGGTGTTAGTGCACTTATATCGGGTGAGCGGCGTGAGATATTTGCCCGGAAAAGTGTGATACTGACTGCCGGGGCTCTGAACACTCCCAAAATACTCCAGCTATCCGGTGTGGGGCCCGCGGAATTGCTGAACTCGCTGCAAATTCCTATGGTTCAAAACCTGCCTGTGGGGCTCAACTTGCAAGACCACGTCGGCACCGGGCTGGATCTGATCTTGCTAAACAAGACACTGTCGATGAACGTAGCAAATATGCTCAACCCGTTCAACCTACTCTACTATTTACAAGGCAAAGGGCCGTGGACGAACCCGGGCTGTGAAGTTTTGGGATTTCTGTCCACTAAGAATTCGACCACGCCCGACGTGGAGGTGATGGTACTGCCCGTAGGCATTTCATCAGACAGGGGCACGTTTCTGAGGAAACGCTTGGGTATTCGTGACGAGGTGTGGAATGGATACTTCACGAAGACATTTGAAAAGCACACGTCGACGTTCTTCACAGTTGTTTTGCACCCAAAGAGCACTGGTACAGTGTTAATTCGCAGCACAGATCCGAAAATACCGCCGCTAATTGATCCTAAATACTTAAGAGAGAAAGAGGATGTAGACACTTTGACAGCTGGATTGAGATTAGCTATGAGATTCCTAGAGACTGGCTCTTTAAAGTCTATTAAGGCTCATCTAAATGTTGCCCCGTTCCCTGGTTGTTCTCATCACGAGTTCTTCTCCGACAGCTATTTGGAATGCTACGTCAGACACTTGACGTTAACCAGTTACCATCCGGTCGGCACGTGTTCAATGGGGTTGCCAGAGTCGCGAAAATCGGTCGTCGATACTTCGTTCCGTGTGTTAAACGTTCAAAATTTGTACGTGGCTGACGGATCGGTGATGCCGACGTTACCTAGTGGCAACATTAATGCGGCGATTGCAATGATGGCCAATATATTCTATGAAACAAATATAAAAAATGCATCCCTTAAAATAGACAAGGCTCACTGCAACAGATACGATCAAATGTATCAATATTTATTTAAAATATGTTCAAAAGGTTAACATCTCTTTATACCCCATTACGTCTATGTTTTTATCTATGTTATTTTGTTGAGGGATGGACAAATGTCTTTTTTTAATTCGTCCACTGTCATTTTGTTTTTCCGGATTGATTTAAGAAATATTTACTTTCTAAGCCATATCGACCGAGCCAAAGATTAAGCTGTAATAATACAAAAAAAAGGCAATAAGACTTTATTTATTGTATGTAGTTAAGGTCACTTCTACCCATTAACATTACGCACAATATTTTGAGCTTTAAAACAATACTAAACAATACAATAAGAGATAGGATTTAAGATATGGATATTTATTTTTTATTTATTGTACCAAAGTAAACAAATAGCAGTAAATATAATAGGACATTGGTTTTAAGACGTCTAATACGATTAGTACAAAATATTTAAAGTGACATAATTAAATCGCATAAATATGGACAAATCAACTAAACATGTTTATTTTCTTATTATTTTTTTTCTATTGCAGTCTTGCGCGCCAAATTTTATGTACTTATACGCAACAGAATTTTATTTATATAATTAATTATTTAAGTTCGCCATAATAATAGTTTTGAAGCATACATGTTGGTACCCACATATATATAAGATTTTACAAAAAACTGTACAAGAGTTGCAACAGTCTTTTTTAAAAACTTTTGCTCACTTCAAATCGAAGAGGAAAAAACGATATAAACATTATATGTAATACACAATTGTTTTTCATTTCTTATCTCTACAAAAATGTTTATAGACTAGAACAAATAAATTTGATAAGTATTTAACTTGGGTTATAAACAAGTTCATAATCAAAGACATTTAGTTTTTGAAACGAGGACAAAAAGTCGAAATGACTAGAATACATTACTAAGGTAAATGCTTAAATGCTACAAACAACGTAATAAACACTACATCTAATTCCTATTTGACTTAGCATTAAACAGCATAATGCTATTTTACAAATTGCGTATTTACGATTTATCTTAACCGTACTCCATACGGGTAAATACGGATAAATCGTAGGGGATAAAGATTAGGATCTCAATATGTTTTCAAATGAAGTAATGTCCACAAAAGTGTATTTACTCGTAATAAGGGTTCGATAAATTACCAAAATCGCGCTTAAAGTAGTAATAAGATATTAGTAGCATATGAATTTTGCAAATGAAGTTTTTCGCAGAAAATAAACGTTATGAAGCTACCAAAGTTTAAAGTTAAAATGCATCTGTACTTCTTTACGTCAAGCTTTTACTTTAAAATTTAGTTTAGAGTTTAATTTGTTTTCTAAACTTGTAAGCCTTACCAGAATGTACATCCAGGTATTTGTACCTGTTTCTTTTTATTTTTATCCTTTGTAGAAGTCACGGTACAATGTCGACATCTTAGTGTTTTCTATTTTATAAATATTTTTAAGTTATTGCATAGCTTTTATCGCGGGCTTTGAGCGCCGCGACCGATTCAAGAAATTCCGTAACGAAAAAACTTGAATTTATATCAAAGAAAAAAAATACTGTATAAGTAAATTAATAATTATAATTGCATAAGTTGATAAAAAATGCTATGCAATAGCTTTACCGCGGCAGTCCCCGAGTGCCAAAATTTCTTTTTTTATTACATTAAGATCCTTATCTCTATACTCCGTAACGCAATTAAACCACGCGTCTATATTAAAAACAAAATTAAATCTTGAACTCCACAGAAAATTAAAGCCCACGTGTTAATTTTGTTAGAAACAATACAACTTTTTTTATACCTCAATGAACACAATAAGCTTTCAATATGTCCTAAGTTGTATAACTAAACACCATAACACATTTTTAAATTATTGCGCTTTAATCATAATTAAAAACATCTTTAAGATACATACTATTATTGAATGTCAATTATTTCAAAATATATGAATACCGATTATTCCAAACTGTTTTAATGCCTAAGCTCTACGTAACTACTATAAAAATATATAATAGCCTGACCTAAAAAATAAAATAAACTATATTGCGGAAAACCAGTGAATGATATAATTATGCAATAAAAGTTAATGATTACAGACAAATAATAATTGCTAACTTAATAATGTATCAAACTTTGTAAACAGAGAAATATTTACTTTTCTAATGTTAATAGAAGTATTAATTGAAGCTAATAACTTTTTTTGTGTTACAGTTGTATTAATATATAAAAAAGGAATTAAGTGGGTATGGGTGTACGTGGTAGGTCCTATAACATTTCTTAGCTACATTAAAAAATTAACAATTTTGAGGGAGTACCCGCATGTTGCAATATTTAAAACACTACGAAAATTTAAATGGTATTTGCATCAATCCTTAATAGAGTATATAAGTACTCGTAAATATAAAACAGTAGCTACTCATTCTATACGTACATTTTGAGGACGGAACATATTGATATAACTACATATATTTACATGTGCACTACATTTAGTCACAACATTTTGTACAAACTATTCGTACTTACGTATTTACTCATTAGCATCCACACACAAATGTTTTCATACCGCAGTTAAACAGCAGCCAGTAATGAGAAGAAAGGGATAATCGTTGTTTTTCTGTAGTAGACTAACGATTAAAAACTAGGTTGCACATTAAAATATATCAAAAGTAGGTAATTAATAAAAAACTTGAAATATCTACCTCGGTCAGAAAAATGTCGGAATGGATATTTTACTGTGTACCTTCGAATTTTAATTATTTGTTAGAGTTATTGATGATTACGCCCAAGTAAGCTGTTCGTCAACTTTATTTATAAAATATCATATCTTTTAAAAAGACAATCATACGTTGAGATAAACGATATTGAATTTAATAAAGTTATACTGGCTTCCACCATTTTATAAATCACACTTATTCCCGAGCAAAACAACCTCTAATGTGCGTAAAAAGATAATTATTGTTCATTAGTTTTATATAGTGCAGGTGCTCTGCTATATAACTGGTAGTACAAAGATCAAAGAACAGTGAATTTCTTGGAAACCCATCTGTATATTCACAAGAACCGTGTACATATTTTATACGTTATTTTATATATATTTATGTGTATACATAAATCTATTCACTTTGTGCTGAGCAAAATTTATTCACAATGCAACTTCTGCATATAGTAATACTGGACGGATTATCTGATATCAAAGGCTCTTTAACTTACATATGATTGTATTGTTAATCGATAAATTTTTAATTAAAATTTACATCACTATGATTCCTACGTAAAATCATTTTTATAATACTGCTTCATATATATGAACAACTTCTTAAATTGATACAATCCTACGTTTAGAACTTGCTAAGTTCCAAAAATTTGTAGATCTTTATAATTTGTATTAAATAATTGAAATTCCATATAAAAGTACATATATAATTAATGTGTAATTGAAGCCTAACTTAAAATAATTAAATTCTAAACATTTTATAATACATTGTACATCGTAATACTGAGCGGTAAAGTTCACTAGAATTTTACAAGTGCTATAAATATTTTTTTATAACTAAAAAGGATACTAAAATAATGTTTACGTATCTTCACAAGATATAAATTTATTGCTTCATAACTACTTCGAGTAGTAAGTTTAAAATATTGATCAATAATCACAATAATGCTTAGTAAGAAGTTTGGAACGTTTTCTTTCCTATGTGAACATAGGTACATCATTTATGCTACTAAACATTTTCATGCGAGTTTATAATTGTTTGAGCTTTTTTGAGCAAAACCGTGCAAAAATCAAATAACTGATATTACACCTGAACAAATTCGATATAAAGTAGTTTGAGTTGCGATTCCTATTGCTGTTTCTTTATAAATGTATCTTAATTATTATTTTAAGATAGTCTTCGATCTACAATATAACAAATTAAATATAAAACCATACCAAAGTTCTAATCACATACGAAAGAAATACTCTCAAATGGGACAATCAAACTTTCATAAGTCTTAGGGCTTTGGTTGTAATGCGACGAGGAAGCGGCTCTGCGGTGACTTACTTGAAACAGGAGTCCAGATAGCTGTCGAGCATGTCCAGCTGGAGGTCGTCCCAATCCGTGGGGTTGAGGAGCAGCGAGGTCAGATCGTCTGGCTCTGGGTCGGAGATGAGGGGGGGCGGTGCCACCGGCTCCACTATCACGTTGGCTCCAACGTTGGTCTCCAACTCCATAGGGATCGTTCCGATGTCCAGGCCGAACTCGGGCAGGTGTAAGGATACGTTGGCCAAACTGATGTCGTTCACGCCTTGCAGCTGTGGGATGTGAGCGACGGCGATCTTGTCCTCATCTGGTTTAGGGTTGGCGTTCGTATTGCCGGTTCCGTTTGAGCTTTGATCCGAGGAGACGGCACACTTCTTCTTCTTGTGCGGTCTGCTCGATATCCTCTTGGTGCCTTCTAGATGCGCCAGGTCCAGCCTCCAGAAGCCGCCCTTGCCTGGCTCGTGCTTTGATCTGGCGACCTTCACGAACACCTTGTTCAGGGACAGGTTGTGCCGTATCGAGTTCTGCAAACGTCAATTACGTATGAGACAAGTCGCTTCGAAACGCAACGGCCGCCTAATAATGAACGTGTAATGTGATAGTTTCGATTCGATTCCGAGCTTTCAAGTTTACGTGCATAATATGTATATTTTAAATGTTATTTTTAACGTACAACGTTAAGAAAAGGAACTTTATCTGCTCGAGTTATGTCTATTTCATATTTATGGTTCTCTCGATTTTAAGATGATCTGAATAATGGATGCAGTGTAATATAAAATACACAAACTTTTATTGTTATTTTCTTTGGAGAACAAAGAAAATATATTTTGTGTTCATATGTAATCGTAATCGTCATAGACGTTTATGAATGTCCTCGAAAAATCCAACGCACGTTTACAATATCACGACTACACACATTTGGATTAATATACCATAACGTGGTTTAACCTTTTAAATCCGAAAATTTTAAAAAATCGATAAAAATGACCGTCATATTGCAATTATGTGCTTTATGGAACCCAAGAACGGAATGATGGAAATCGTAATTGATATATTTTTTGTTGCTTACGTGAGTATTGAGGCGCACAAAGGGTAATTTAAACGAAAATATTCTACAAAATATTTCTAATGGTGACGCAACAGTAACTGCCAAAGATGAATCATCAATCGCCTCAACTTATGGCACCATGTTCTGCAGTGAACTTTTACGTTTTATCATAACACTTTCATTTCTTTACCGTAGAAATCATTAAAAATATACCGCGCACGGGTAAAAAGTCGTGAATACTTACATTTAACATTACTGTTATTCAAAACGTATAAAATTATGAACTTTCTATCATTAAATTACAAAATTAAAACAAAAACCTAAATTGTAATTTAAAAAAAGTCAAGAGACATCGAATTTAAAGATTCATACACAGTTCTACACTCCTATAAGTAGAATAAAGAATAATGACTCAACAATATTGTCCTAACAAAAAACGGCTCGATATAAATGGTTAAAGGAATACTTAGTCCGGATAGCAAATATATTAAAACGGGTAATTGTTATCTGTGAAAGGGTGACGGGGAATTCATTATTTGACACCGATATTATTATCGCTTATCACCGGGTCCCTGCCAATATGCATAGCTCCTGTTTAAACATGCGCTATCTAATCTGGCAAATTTGCCGGTTATTGAGATCGGATGGGCTCCGGCTACCGAAACGGGACGGCTCTCACCTGCCACGTGGGGTCCGCGCACCTATAGTACTTGAAGTTCTCCTTGATCCAGGCGTAGATCGCGGACAGGGTCATTTTGTCGTTGTTGTACCTCATTGCCATGCAGATCAGTGTGCTGTAGGAGTACGGCGGTTTCTTCTCGCTGTTCGTCTGATACTCCTCCCTGTTTAGTACAAAGTCGTTCTGGCACTTCGCTATCGTCTGGTTGAACTTGTGTAGCCTAGTGTTCGGCGGCCTCGACTGCGGGCTCGGCGATATCGGCGGCATCGGTATCTGCGGCACGGACATTATGTTCGTTATGTTCTGCAGCCAGTTGAGGTTCGTCAGGTCGGCGTCCTGCTCGTCGAGGGCTCTCTCCGGCCTGTGCTTGACCGGCCTCTTCTTGGCCTCCGAAGGCGTCTCCGAAGACCCATCGCTGGCCGACTGCTCCCTCTGCGGCTGCTCGTACACGTACTCTATCTCGACCGTGTGCGAGGACTCAGGCACGGTGTCCACAGTGTAGTAAGCGGCGCAGAGGTCGCCCGCGTCCGCGTACAGGCTGAGGGCGGACGCGTCGAGCATCTCGCCGGTCGCCGGCGACAGACCCGTCGCGATGTGCATCCCGAGCTACATCCCTGGCGGTCGAGTGTAGAACCGGCCGGGCTACCGCTCGGCGAGACCGGCTGTAGGGCGATCGATAACGCGCGGACGGCGTGACGTCGCGACGGTCAGCACCCCCGCGGCGGTTGCGCGGAGTGGTGGCGCAGCTGCGTGGCGGGTAGGTGGCGTGGTGGCGTGGGGGCGTGGGTCGTGTGGCGTGGTGGCGCTGGCGTGCGCGCGTTACGGCGTCGCGTCGTGTTGTGAGGGCAGGTGCGGCCCCACGGTGGCGAACAGGTGGTGGCGATCGATACGCCGCCCGCCCGCATCGCCGATAGCTATGGACAATTAGTCACGGTTATCGGACGCGGACGTTATCGCGGCTTGGCTGCGGGCTCTTCCTAGACCCAAAGGACGCGGCAGCGGTGGTCTTTGTTAGGCGTTGTCGTACGCTCCTATGAGATCACTCTTGCTGTCCGAACGATGGGTGTTCCTTTTTCGAACACGATTGGAAAGAAAAGCGCTCTGTTCGGCCGTCTTTTGTGATGTCGGTTAATAATACAGAATATGTATGTTTTTTTTATAGCTCATGTATATTTGTTGATGTATATTATACCAGTCCGTTGTAGAGCTAAACCGTAAGCCATGACAATTTGTTCTAACTTCCTGATTATGACGCCTCAGCTCACGCAGCTTCTTAGCGATGAGTACGCGCCGCGGGTCGTAGGTTCGATCCCTTCACAAGATAAGTTTCGGTACAACAGATAATTATTTCGCTACTGTCTATGTTCGCTATGTGCACATAATAATTATTACATTTATGTTAAAAGGTTATTTAATCGGAAAAATTCAGTAATTATATTAAAAATAGTATGTAAAATCGATGTAAAATATATCTTCATGATATATTTCGTTCACTGAAATGTTTCTCAGCCTTACTAACGCATGAAATTAAAATAAACGTTAACAAAAACGCTTTTCTTCCTAGCCAGCAACCCGATGTGACAAACACTCGAGACCTCAAGACTCGGAACTTTATGACAATGCAATATCACCTCATGTCTTGTCCGTCTGTACTTTAAAGTAACCCCTATTGCGAAGCACACGCGATCTTTTAGTTCGTAATATAGAAGGTAGTATATTGATTTCGGTATAATTATATTTGCCTGGTACAAGCGGCGGTGACAGCCCCTCTAAACAAACAAGCACTCAATTAAGGCTAGTGCTTGCTTGGAGAGCCTATCATACTCCATCGACTATGAATACGTACTAAACGTGTGCAATGAAAACACACTGGAAGTTTTAGTTGTAATTTTATCGAGATCCAATATTATTCTACAAAAACTTATCGTTATGAGATACTTACATTAAAAGATTAGTGAAAGATGCATGATTTTTCCATTTTATTTCATTTCTTAATTAAAAGATAAACGACAGAAATACCACCGGTGCAAGTAACGAAGATTTAATCCCTCTGCCTAAGGCATAGACGACGCATGTACTGTTACCACGCTGACGTTTTTATTTGATTCCTTTTTTTTTTTCACAATACATAAATTATATTTGCAGATAATATATGAGATATAATTATATATGTCGACCCTAATAACCTATGCACGGTGGCTATAATAACCTTTTCTTATTATGCCACGACTAAACTCAATATGTTCCTATTATGTGATAAGTACGTATATGCGAATGTAGTTTTTTTTTTTTTTTTTTTTTTTTTTTAATTTATTAATGAAAAAATATACAAGGAATAGGATTACATAGCTATATATTCTCGCCAAACTCTTACATTTGACGTGTTTCGCACGCCACTAATTTACCTATTAGATGCATTATACACATTTACCAAGTATTTCTTTACACTATAATTATAACCAACACAGGTAATTAAAAGAATGATATACTTTTGTTATAAATAAACTACTACTCTAATGATAATTCATCAAAAAACAACTGTTTAAGTTTTGACTTCAACACATTTTTACTGTTGCGAACTCCCTATCAAAAGTTCAAATTTATTAAATATCTTAGGTAGTATTCATATATATGTCGAATAAATTAAATAATCTAAACCTTATCTTATGTTTTATATTTATCACGGCGGCAAAATGGCTGGTTCTTTTCTCGCTCAAGGGGTAAAACGGATTACCAATACTCCGCTGTCTGCCTGAATGTCCGGCTGTCACCAGGCTGTATCTCATGAACCGTGATTATTAGACAGTTGAAATTTTCAGATATATTGTATTTCCGTTGCCACTATAACCACAAATACTAAAAAATATTTAAATGGGGCTCCCATATAACAGTCATGATTCTTCTGCGGTTTTTTTAGATAATGCTACGGAACCCGTCGTGTGTGAGTCCGACTTGGCCTTGGCGGGTATTTATATTTTTTTTAAACTAAATCATTTTTCTTTATCAATTCTTTATCATAAATCGAAATTTTATGACTGAATTAAAATTTATTTAACTTGAAAATAATAGTTACTATATACGAATATTAATAATTCTCGTGTAGTATCGATAGAACGAAACAAATGTCTTACTTAAAATTAAAATAAAACGGTGCACTGTCCCCGTATTCTCCCGCCATTTTCACCCCTCATATATAACACATTTGTAAGGTGGCGAGTCGCCGGTGTGGAACGTAACGTTGGTGCCAGTCACGAGATCCCGTTCACTTAGTATATTATTAATCCCCTTTTGCAGTTTAATCATTCCACGATGCCCCTTTCAATACAATCTGAAAGTTTGGTATCACTATAACTACCACAGATGATAGAATAAAATGGACGCCAGAAGTTACGGTTGCCGAGAATTTCATACTCAGTTCTGAGACTCCAGTATTGATGTTTCAGCAACAGATTCCAAATTAATAGTGATTTTCTATCAGTTCACTATGATTAATTGGGGTTTTTCTCATTATGCAGGATGTGGTGACGGTAACGGTACACCCGTTATAGATGATCCATTATTTATGATGTATCAAATATGCCAATTTTAACGCCTTTTAAAATGGTATACAATTTCTATCCTTTCTTTCTGCTTTAATGACTAATCCCCGAGGAGTTGGACCAGGGCCCGTTTTATTAAAGAATATTTTTAGTTTTTGGCCAAAATTTATATCTCCTCCGTTGTAGTGAGATTTACTTTATAGCCTAGCAATAACAATAAGTCACTTTATACACATAATTATAAGATTTATAACATTTAGAGAGAATTTATAATTAATTAAGGTCCAAGAAAAAACTCACGGAGCCGTATTAGCTCAGTCTTGTATTAACTGATGTTTTTGGGAGTGCCTGGACGCTTGCCTTAATTCAATATACTCGAGCGACCTGAGTTCGATCCCCGGTGCCGGCACCAATGAAATTGTTAAATTTAAGTGCTGACTTATCACGTACTCAGCGACGAGGGAAAACATCGTGAGGAAACCTGCAGATTTTCGAAATAATAACATTTACTCTCATCATTTTTCCCTAACGCGCCAAAAGAAGTATAACTTCAAAAATGTTTCGAATATATGTGATGTACGTCAATCTGCAAGACTATGCCCTAATACCCTCTGTACAGAGTACGCCTTTGCCCAGCGGCAGTGGGATATGTATAGGCCATTATTTAACTTTTTTTTTACTTTTAAGACGTTTTAAATGAACTTAAAAACCACCCAGCGTAAAAAATTTACATCGTTAGGTGTGGTGAGTAATCTCGAAAGCTTCCGATCAACGTATTGTCAATCGTGGCGAAAAATAGTTAAATAAAAAATCGTTAGCAAAAAAAACCAACGTCACGCGGTGTTCCCAGGCGGTCACCCATCCAAGTACTGACCGCGCCCTACGTTGCTTAACTTCGGTGATCGGACGAGAACCGGTGTATTCAACGTGGTATGGACGTTGGCGACAGTTGATTCTCGTCGAGTCTACCCATCTTTCCACAAGTTCTCTGCCCAGTGATGTCGATAGATAATTATAAGAGTATGTAATTATAGCGTTTAAATTCAGTCATTAGATACCGTTCATCCATGATGTACGTCGAGGGCCTTCCGAATGCCGATTTTGACACAGCCGACCTTTGAATCTTAACAACTCCGCGAAATAAGAATAACAGATGCGCGAACATAGGAAATTACTCTTTACGTTAAACACGATGTCATTCCTAACGATCTATACGTTTTCGCTTCGTGGTCGACGATTCAATGACCAAATTCGGTGCCGAGTTAAGCAAGCGCGGTGTGCGCAGCAAATTCTTTCAAACAGCCCTTGATCTGCTATAAGTTCTTAAGTATAAAATGTTGAAAAAACAGTTCAATACAATATTTACTTATTTAGTAAGTTTAATTAAAAAAAATAAAAGCTTGTTATTAAGGCTAAGGCAGAGATGACTGCGTTTAAATTATGCGGGGCCCTCTTGGGCTACTCTTGCTTCATGGTTAATCGGGCACTGATTATTATAACTGTGGTAGGGCCACGCACCAGTCTCCACTGTTGCACGTATGGGCAGGTCCGTCCGGGTAAGTACCACGGTGTTGCAAAATATACAATAGACGGTGTTTGCCACCTCCTCACTTAACAAAAATGTAAGAACTTATGTTATATATTATAGTAGATGATAGTTAAACAAGTGCACGCGAGTTTTTTAATTTAATTTATTTACAGTTATAAATAAAAGTATAAAAAATTTAAGCGGCTTTATGATAAATTAAATAACAGACTGAGGGCCGGGTTATCTGGAACGTAAAAGCAGTCTTTCGTCATGCATTCTGCAAACCGTTGGAAAGTTCATGAATAAAAAAAACCGCCCAAGTGCTAGTCGGACTCCGTACCATTATAATCTGTTAAATTTCAACTAATTTTCACTGTTCATGAGATACAGCCTGGTGACAAACAGACAGACAGAGGAGTCTGAGTAATAGGGTCCCGATTTACCTTCTAGGTAAGGAACCCTAAAAAGATGAAACCCTTAAAAGGGTCCTTCCATCCTTTGACAATACAGTAAATCCGATAGATTTAAGGTTTTATTGAAATAGAACTTTACGGTATGCTATCTGAACACTTTGAAAATACGGAATAAACATTTTCACACTCAACGGACGTGAATCAACAATAATATTTATGAACATTTGCAATGAGGGTAGTCCTTCCACCACTAAACACACGAATAACATATATAAATGTTAAATTAAAGACATTAAATACATTTATTCCGTCACCTTAAAATAGTTGTACAAAACTTAATCAATAAAATTACAAAAAATAAAAACACAGAAAAAAAATGTTTACATAAAGAGAAATAAATTACAAAAAAGAAAAAAAAATGGGTAGTAAAGTATTGTAATAATATTAACAATTAAATGATTATGTGCCGAATAATAATAAAGTCACAACATCGCAGAAATAAACAAATAATATATGAGCGTAACTTGCCGCTTAGTTATCATAATTTCATAATATTGCAGTATATTTAGTGTACCAATTAATGTACTAATTTGAACAGGTTTTAAAGAGAGGTAGTGAGAATCCTTACCTATTTAAAACATGTTCGAATTAGTATATTGAGCCCTTTTGAAAGAACATCGACCTTAGTTAATGACCTTCCCTCTATTGTAATGTCGTACGTTGACTCCGATCAAGCCGCTGGCATATTAGGCGGCATATATTTAATAAACTATTAAGAACAAAGCAAGTGTGAAACTTTCTTTGTTCTTAATAGTTTATTAAATACCATTAATAAACTTTAAAAATAAATACCATAAATTAAATACAAATAATTAAATACCATTAATTGACTATATAACTTAGTTTATAAGTGAACCATGAAAAGTAAATTAAGATAAGTAAATTAGGTCTCTTTTGTATAAGTAATTCGATAATTAGTTCATGTAAATAAAACATAAATTAAAATATTGCTTAAGATATAGAAGTCTGTTTTATTCAAAGAAAATATCTGTACAGAACGTCTGAAAATAAACCAATTTCTTTCTGTCTTCATGACATTCTTGTTTCTTTACCAATCCAGCACACTGAAATGTGCATTGCGCACAATATGAAAGCGAAGTTTTTGCCAATCATTCAGTATAATCTTGTCTATGAACAAATCGGCAATAATAATCTTTGGAACTGGAAGAGATCTTGATAAAACATCTAAAAAAATAGAGTCAAGCAATTAACGCCACCCATAAACGGCTGGACGGACTTTCATGATTTTTTTTCTGTGAGTACACTTGATACCCGAGAATGGTTTAGAATTTATATTCACAGACAAAGGGACATTTCGGTCCATTACAATTTTTTTTAATTAAAATTTTATTTATAAGTTGTGTTCGGATTTATGACGTGCGTCTTGACGTGAGAACAGCGTCTGTAGGGGCCGCTTGTTTTAAATAAGACTGAACAATGAAATATCATAAAATTTTACAATAATGTTTTTTATGGGGAAAAAAGCGGCAAACGAGCAGGAGGCTCACCCGAACTGAAAGTATCAGATTCAGATTTAGAATATTCTGAATATGCTCTGTTAATATGTCCGTCGTCTATAAAATCACCGTGTATAACTGACTGATTTATTTTAAATGGCTTAATGGAGCGTTAATATCGACTTCACCGACGGAGTCGTCCTGACCAAATTAAAACAAACATTTATGATAAAAAGTTTATTGATTAACAATTTGCTTGACACGTTGCTCAACACGGTATAAACATATAAAAATATCCATTTGAACGGCTGTCTATATGTGCGTGAGGAACCAATCCGCGCTGTTTTCCGTGAAAGTGTAGCCGGCCTCGACGGCACACCTACGGTCGCCAACCGTTCTTTGCAATGACGTATCGTAATTTACTTTTCGCAAACGCACTATACTATTGCATGACGATAAAGCATGTGAAAATAATCTATTTCTGGACAGTGTTTAATAATCCTTAAATAATCTTTCGAGGATAGAGAATAACTGTCAGTGTATTAGAAGATCATGAAAATAAGTCTTCATGAGAAGAAATAAATAATAAATGTATGGAATTTTGGAAAGTAAGTACTTTTTATCCAAATATTTTATTTTTCCCTATTTGAAAAATGTGAATCGTTATTTTTCTCAAAACAGTTTGCGCAGTCACGACACACAGATGGTGTTATCTTAAATCCTTATAAAACAATTTTAAACGAAGTTTTTTTTTTGTAAACATTATCTTTAATGTACTTGTCTATTTTTCGTCAATAGCGGCAAACGTAAGCTTTAAAACGCTCATCAAAGTTATGAAGGATTATGGAAGTTAGGACGTACCGACAAAAAACAACTCTGGGACATAATATAGAGATAATGTGTGCTGTGTCTCTTTTAAAAGGTAGTTGGTAAAGTCGTTTTCACTGCTTATTTTATTTGGAAGTTGGAACGCAATTCTCCCTAGTTTATAATTTCGTCTCTGCTAATATTATTTTATGGGGGTATTATTATAATTTAATTGACGTCCGCTAGCTTTTAACTCAATATACTCGACCAACCCGAGTTCTCATTCCATCATAAGGAAAACATCGTGAGGAAACCTGCATATTTTGTAAATAATTGCAAAAAATATATATTTTATTTTTTTTTATAAATCAGTGGTGTCGCATGGAGGTCTATGCCCTTATGTACAGAGAAGACCTTTGTTCAATTATGGGTTAATGTTGTTACTATAATCTTTTTTATTAAGATTACTAATCTCTTACAAATACTATCTACTAGTTATTTACTAATCTCTTACTATTTTTACCAATGTAAGCTTTTTGAAATATATATCCTTAATCTACGAGCGCAATAATAGTAAGAAAAAATGGAAGTACAAACGCTCGCATACATTTCAATGTAAGCATATCCCATTAAAATTTACACTTAAACTCTATAAAGTACTCGGCCAAGGATAATGCACAACTTTGGAAAGAGACATCGGCTCATTTCGGTTTCGAAGAGCGTTATCTCTGTCACACACAACTTATGTGACGTTTGTTATTCCACGCACAAGTGTGCGACAGAGATAATGCTATATACATTTCATCATATTATTATATAAGATAGATACATGTGAATTTGATGTATTCAACAAATGTCGTTAGTTGACTGTTAGGCTAAATTTATTTAACTGATTTAACACGTCTAAGGAATATTAATGCATTTCATTTAATCTTTATTGCATTGCTTGCGACATCGAACACAAAAGGCGGACTTAAGGCCACATGGCATTCTCTACCAAGGAATAGTTTGCCACGACTTGTTAAGAGCTTTAAAACGTACTAAATCAAAGATATTTTGGGATGTTTTAAACATTCAGAATCATAATCGTTAAGAACCGAATGTAAATTACATCATTCGCACAATCCTAGATATTGTAGCGGTTTCGAATTTCCAAAATTTACACGCAAGTTAACCTAGACAAGAAGATCCTATATCATAACATAATTTATATTTTGTCGCTTAAACATTAGCTTTCTAAAATAGAAATTATTGTCGGAAGAAAGGAAATTATATTGGTACAACACTAATAGATACTTGCGAATTACTACTGTTATTGCTCCGTGTCTTGTATCATCGCTCAGTTCTATAAAAATGTGTCATAAATATAACCTAACGATTAGGAAAGATAGCGGCCTCTGCCGGATGATTGAGGCGTCTAATATCAATGAACATAGGGAAAGCATCACGGCCGCAAACACTGTCAAATGAAACACTTGATATTGATACGTTTCGTTTGGTGAGAGTGTTAACCGCTTTTACAATCAACGCGGCAGTGCCAAGACGGTATTAACACCGTCATGGCACAATCATCCATAAGGATGTTCATACACTTTTCATTACAGGTCCACTCTTTTGCTATCTACTCTAACGAAACAACGTTACTTAGACGAAACATAACGGCTTATTTCGTCTCATAGCAGAACGCATCTCACCCGTCCGAGTTGTCTGCATAGTGGCCTTTAGTTGCCAGGTCGATCAGCGGATTCCTCAACACCATCGCTTTGAACGCGTCGGGACTTCCCTCGGCCAGATGGGCCGCGACGAAGCCGCCGTAGCTGCCGCCGTATAGCAGCGCGCCGTCCGATCGCGCGTCCCGCTCCCGCAGGGCGGTCAGAGCGAGACGGCAATCGCTGACGTCATAGTCGCCCGCGCGGGAAATGAGCGAGCGCAGCGGCGCGTCCCCTTGGCCCGTGGAGCCGCGGAAGTTGACGCGCACCGCCGCAAAGCCTGGCCGATACGTTGTGACGTAATAGCGAAACGTAAACAAAATGAACGTTGGATCCGGCCGAGTTAGGGGCGAAATAGCACTAGTGTAAGCAAATAGCAAGAAATTGGCTGTAAGATCAATGGAATTAGCATCCGAATTGGGATTAAAGGTCACTCGAGTGTGATGGATGTTGGATATTGGACCAACGGAGTGCGAAAAGAAATATCATATTAGGTCATCAGAGTTGAAAACGAAATTGGCTGTAGGTGAAATTGAATTGAAAGCCACTCGAGTTAAACGGAATGATACATTAGATCAAAGGAGTGGGAAAAGAAATAGGATATTAGGTCACTAGAGTTGAGAACGAAATTGGCTGTATGGTCAGTGGAGTGAACCTTAGTTGAATTTAAGGTCACTCGAGTTAAACGGAATGCGATTTTAGATCAACGGAGTTCTAACAGAAATAAATCACTCGAGTTGAGAAGAGTTAGGAACGAAATAATAAATTAGGTCATCGGAGTTACGTAATAAAGTGGAAATAGGGTGTTTTTTTTTTCCATGTAGGTTACATGGAAAAAAAATTTTTCATATGATCGTCCGAGACGAAATGTGTAATTAAACAAGACGTTAGATCACAGAGGTACAAATTAAACTTGGACTTTTTTTTATTATTATTATATGAAACTTTGACGTTGCTCGTTCGCTTAAAACATGCTAGTACTGAGAAAATGTGGTTATTTGCTTCCGGCCGTAGTAATGACACCGTGTTCCCAGTACGATACTTTTCAGCCAAAGGCTAGATTCGAAACAGTTATCCGTCATACAAACACTAGTCCCGATTGAGAATCGAACGTAAAACCGCGGCCCGCAGCAACCGCGCCCGCCGAGTCTCTTTGGACATCTTCGAAGCATGGTTGAAATGTCAATCGCTAATACTAGTTGACTCATGAGATATTTGCGTACAGTACCGTGATGGTCAAAATGCTGATATAATAATGTGTAAATAAGTATTTATCGATAAAACGTATATTATTTTGAAGAGTAACGTTTTTATCTCTCATTTGAACAAATCATCAATAGGTGTCTTCCTTTATGAGAATAATTAGAAACAATTTTTTTTTACGAAAACTAGAACTTCGTTCCACTTGTCTATATTACGAATAGATGCAAAGATAAGCTTTATACAGTGTTGAAAAGATTAAAGTTGATTAAATAATCAAAGACGTGGCGTACCGCCAAAAAAAATACTTTGAGAAATATTTATTGGAGACGTTATAAAACATAGGCTTTACCGATTCATACAACTATAACTCAATGACTCAATAATTAGATAACAATCAATTATTGATAAATTATTAATTAGATTGAATATGTGCATAATTATAACATAATACATAGAAATAGTAGAACTCTGGTAAACTGCTTTCCTTAGCAAATTTATCGTAGTATAGTAAATGACTAAAGTAACAGCTTATGTATGTCACTCTGCTGGGCAAAGGCCTCCTCTATATTGAGTGTATTACGGCGTAGTCCACCAAGCAACCCCACTGCGGATTGGCGGACTTCACATATCTTAGAAATATTTTTTTTTTTTTTTTTGTTAAGATTACGAAAACACGCAGGTGTTTCTTAGTTTTCTCACGATGTTTTAACGACAGGACGACAACCAAGCGCAACGCAACTACATTGAACAAAGATATTCGAAACGGAAACCGCTTTTCGAGCCGGTGGTGACTAAAGGCCCATTTACATGGTGCCAGTTTCTTGCCTGTTGTATACAATTAAATTGAAGCAATAAATGAGTTGCATGGTCTAAACAACAAATGGTCTAAACAATTATTGCGCGCAATTTATTGCATTCAATTATTGCTCTTGTATGTACAAGAAAATGGCATCGTGTAAATGGGCCTTTACGAACATATTAATTTCTAGCATTTAATGTAAAATTTTGACGCATAAATAAAAAATAAAAACGCGCAAGCGTCTATGTGGTTAAATATATCTTGACTAGCTATAGTTAATAATAAATTAGTTTTTATTATACACCAGAGTATCTCGCAGATGGTTGAATTTTTTCGTACTCAGTTGACATTTATCATTAACTATAATTTGGACAATTCACACAAAATCTTTATAAATTATAGCCTATGTGTTATTCTGATGTATAAGCTATATTACTGTAAAGTTTAATTAAAATCTATTCAGTAGTTTTTGCGTAAAAGAGTAACAAACATCTGTCCATACATACAAACTTTCAAACTTTCGAGTTTATCATATTATTAGTAAGGATATATACTGACTTCGATTCTATCTTGTGTTCTAATTAACTCAAGTCTTGCTGTAACTAAAATAACATTTGATTTTCATACGCCAAAAGTTTAAAACTTTCCGTTCGCGCATACAAACTTTCCCGTTTATAATATTGATATAGTGACTGACGATTTGGTTTGATTCGAATTCGGATCCGAACACTCGTACCAGTCCGCGATGTCGGTGCTGCCGAACATGGAGGCCACGTCGACCACCGGATTGCGGCTGACGACCGCCTTGTAGTCGTCCGGGTGCTGGGCGCTGAGGTGGGCCACTAGGAAGCCGCCGTGCGAGCCCCCGAACAGACAGACGCGCGCGCGGTCGGCGCTCCGCCCCCTCGGCGCCTCCGCGGCCGCCAGGGCGCAGTCCCGCACGTCCGCGTCCCCCACCCGCGACGGCAGGAAGCGCACTGACGCCTCGCCCGCCCCCGCCGAGCCGCGGTAGTTCACCTGCACGCTCGCGAAACCTGAAACCGCCGCTGAAGTCACTCAAGAGGACTCGCTATCTCTTTCCCGCCTGGCGCTTAAGCAATCCTCCGTCTCTTTCTCGCCGCCTGCGTTCAAACACCGCTGATGTCACTCAAACCGTCCAACGTCCCACTCCCCACCCGCGACGGCAGAAAGCGCACTGACGCCTCGCCCGCCCCCGCCGAGCCGCGGTAGTTCACCTGCACGCTCGCGAAACCTGAAACCGCCGCTGACGTCACTCAAGAGGACTCGCTATCTCTCTCCCGCCTGGCGCTTAAGCAATCCTCCGTCTCTTTCTCGCCGCCTGCGTTCAAACACCGCCGATAACACTCAAACCGTCGTCCGATCCATTCTCCGCACCCCCTAAGCGCGACGGTAAGAAGCGTTTCTTTCTATCGACCGCCGCTAGAGGTCACTTGTAAACTATCCTCCGTCTCTTTCTCCCTATCTGCGTGCAGCAGCCGCTGCAGTCAAACCATGCTCCGTCCCATTCCGCCACGTCAGCAACAGCCATCGATTGAGACGACCAGCTCTCTTTCCTCCCAGCGCCGGCAACCACCTGACGTCTATATTCTCCGTCTCTTTTCCAAAGTCTGCGTGCAACCGCCGCTGACGTCACTCAAGCTTCATCAGTCTAATCACCAGCTCCTTTATCCCTCGGCACCCCCCTGACGTCACTTAAACTATCCTCCGTCTCTTTCTCACCGTCTGCTTGCAACCGCCGCTGACGTCCTAAAACCATTCGACTGTATCCGACCCGCGCTTATTGCCGCTGTCGTCTCTCAGACCAAACTTTATATCATTCCTGCCTATTATAAACCGCTCATAACGAAATCGAAATAGAAATGTAAACAGAGGGACAGGGGGGGAGTTCGTATGCACGTGTCATCGAGGTTTTTAACTTATATTCATTTCCCAATAGTACCTGGGAGATTTATTCTTTCTGAAAAATCGCTTCTTAACCCGGTTGCCTTTAGATGGCAGTTATGGGACATGTGTAAAAAACTAAATTAAACATTTTGCGACTCGGAAGATGATTACTAGTTCGTTCCTCAAACGAGACGTGATATTAAATGACATAGAAATAACTGTTTCGGATCTCTGTGAACTGTCTGGGAAACATTGTAATGAATAATAGAATAATCAATAATTGCGGTCCATTATTAAAGTAGCACGACACACCGGTCTCCGTGAGGTCGTGGCACTTAGCCGGACGGACGTGCCCATCTTCCAGAAAGTTCTGGCGTAACAAACATAAACAACCTCCAACAAAACACGTCCTTTTTCGTAGTCGGTTGAAAAGTAGATTTAGTCCATAAAATGTCCATGCAGTTTCCCGTCGACGGCCTACCTAGCATCGCGAAGAGCGCCGCCTCCAGCGAGTAGGAGTTGACGAAGCCCGAATGGGGGCCGCCGTGGGGCCACACGATCAGCGGCAGCTTGGCGCCCTCGCGCTCGGTCTTCGGTTCGAAATAGATCGCCGTGAAGGACCCTGGCACGAGGAAGAGGGAATATGCGTGTAATTATTATGTACGCACGTAAGAAAACTAGCACCTTATTATTAAAACTTGTAGAAAAAGAACGAAAGGATCGTCGCCACTGTGGGAATCGAACCCAGACGAAAAACGATATTCGAAATTGTTTGTATGCTGGAAAGGATATAACAATAGATGCGCCAAGCATTCTTTCAAATGCTAAATAACAATGTAGAAAGAAGGCGTTAAGATTTTCGTCGCTGTGGCTATCAGCCGTCTAGCTCAGTGGCTAGAGCGTCAGGCCGCGAATGCCGAAGACGTGAGTTCGATTCCCACAGCAGCGACGAACCTTTCTATTGTAAACAAACGGATAGACTTGATGACCCCGTGGCGCAGTTGCCAATGTATTAGCTGCGGCGTTGAAGGTCGTGGGTTCTATTCCCACACGGGACACTTATTTGTGCCACCCACAGATAGTTGTTTCGCATCTGGGTGTTTGTCCAGGTGAAATTTATGTTTGTAAAGCGTCCTTACAACAGAGGATAATTTTATCCTAAAGTGAGGGAAATGTTTAAAAAAAAAGATAGATATATAAACACACGGGCACTTGAGAAGCACCACGTTAATTAGGCAACATGTTCCCAGTCACAGTAGCGGGTATCGAACCTACACCCAAATACACTAAACACAAACAATTGGGGCCACTTACTGACTGGCTCGTCGGTGTCGTGGCTCAGATGCATGTAGCTGACGCTCGCCGACGCCACTGTGGGCGGGGCCTCGCAGGCTCCGCCCACCCGCTTCCAGGATACGCCCCCTTCGTGGCCCCGCGAAGGCAGCTTGCACACGAACAGCTGCCGAACAGCCAAAGGACTTTATTAGGATTAATTTTTATTTTGTGCAATACTCTCTTGTTTCTTAGTGTAGTGTATAAATGTCCAAAAACTCTGGACGCTGCGGGATTCGAACCAGCGGCGTCTGGGTTCACGCCGAGACGCTTTGCCAACGATGACCTCACCGACAATCTCGACATCTATCTACGTTATTTCTATTGCATTTACAGCAACGCTTAGCGCCATCTAGTGTGCATCCCTTCATACTTTCCACCATCGTTGAATGTTCTTTGTAAGGTGTTGTGTGCTCGAGTAGCGACTCAGAAAACATGATCCACACGTTTTGCCCACCTAGGTGATAAACGTAGGAGAAAGAGTAATGTACTCCATGTTGGTTTCTAATAATTTTCGGAGAATAAGGCTTCAATGTGGCGGGGCCACGCAACAGTCTTCTGCTGTTTCACGAATGGGCAGGTCCGTCCAAGTAAGTACCACAACCTCACAGGAACGGCGTAAAGTGGAAGTATAATACTTTCGCGTTTCGTCTGGCGAGTGAGCCAGTCGGGCGTTGCCAACTTTATTAAAAGTTGCCAACGCATCTGTAACCCAGCAGTGTTGCAAATGTCAATGGGCGGCGGGTTATCACTTAACATTAGGTGAACCGCCATTTCGCTTGCCACCGTTTCACGTTAAAAATAAGGTTATCTATGATTAGCGTCACTTGTGTGTTTACCAGCACCGGGCTAATAAAGTTGTGTGTTAGGCCGATGTAATGTGTGGCTTTGGCAAACGAAGAAATGAATACCTGAGCGGGGGTCGTCATATTGGAGCAAGCGGCGAGTACCACGTCCGACTTGACGTCGAGGATCGTAGTAGAACCGGTGAACGATTTGTTCGAGATATTCAAGATCCCTCCGTCTGCTGAGTTTTAAGGAAATATCGACTTAAATTGTTTTGTTGTCTCATAGTTAAAACCCGTCGAGTCGACACGTGAAACGTTTCGATCATCGTGAGATCGTGAAAATTAGTGTAATATGTAGCAAAGTAAAAAAAAAAAGTAAATTAACAGCCTGTACATGTCCCACTGATCGGCAAAGGCCTCCTCTATGCATATTTCTAGACGACCCCAATACGGATTGGTGGACTTCATATATATTTTCGAAATTTTTTTTTGTTCTTATTTCGGAAATATGCAGGCTTCCTCACGATGTTTTCCTTCGCCGCTGAGCACGTTATAAGTCAGCACTTAATCAACGATTTAATCGGGGACTGAACTCGGGTTGCTCGAGTAAATTGAGTTTAAGGCGAGCATCCAGACTCAGCTATCACAGATATAGATAGATAGATAGTCTTTTTTTGTAAAAATACGGTGTACATAAATGTATGTACACCGTGCAATGCAATGGCATTCAATATATTAAATACGTTGTCCTATCGTGTCCTGGCCGTATCACGGCATACAAATTGGTTACAAGAGATGGTGCATTGACCGCGATAAACTTTATACTATTGCCGAATATAATCACTTGTCATTATTCAGTCATAATAAAATTAATTACGAAATTGGTTAATAAAATTGTGATAATAAACAATGTCAATATTAAAATAACAGATGATTATTGTATAATGTGTAACTTTTAAATTTTTTTATAGTGCCAATTCTGCACTTAAGATGAAACATTAAATTTTGTAGAAAAAGTACGAAAAGTTTTTCGAAGTTGATATAAAAGATGTGAAGATTTATCGATGTGGCCGTCAGCCGTTTAGCTTAGTGGCTTAAGCGTCAGGGCGCGAATCCCAAAGACGTGGGTTCGATTCCCACAGCGGCGAGAAATTCGTACTTCACTACATAGTATAAAACAAAGTCGTCCCGCTGTCTGTCTGTCCCTATGGATGCGGTTTTTTTTACTAGATAGAGTGATTCAAGAAGGTTTATATGTATAATACATTGTACCCGAGCGAAGCCGGGGCGGGTCGCTTGTTTTCTACAAATTATAATGTGTAAATTCGACAAAGATAAAGTGCCATCTCCGGTCCAAGTAGCCTACGCACCAGGGTCGACGGCATACGCCCGCACCTCGTTCTGCTGGGGCGTGCTGAGCACCAGTCTACCGTCGCTCGAGAAGCAGTCGAGCGGCAGACCCTGGCAGTACAGGCCGTGGAAGCTCTCCCCGCCAGAGGTCGCCACCTCGGTCTGGACCACGCCGACCAGCGTCGACACCTCCGCCTGGAAATAACAATCTTCACATAGACCTTAAGGACAGCAACCTAGATGATCTATTCTGTACCTCGGAGGTAAACAGCATTATCCATACTTCCATACTAATATTATAAATACGAAAGTAACTATGTTTGTCTGTCTCGCTTTCAAGGCAAAACTACTGAACTGATTTAAATGAAATTTGGTACACAGATTTATTTTATTTTTTTATTGGAAAAAGTGTTGTAAAGGGTTGAAAGGTTAATGAAAGATATTTATTTAAGGACTTCAACACGAGCGAAGCCGCGGCTGAAAAGCTATCTAGTATGGCATAACACAAATTTTACAGGAGAGGCAAAAGTGCGTGAGTGAATCCTTGAATGCATTATCGATTATAATGTCATATACGTTTGGATATTTTAGGCCTAATTAATAGGTGTCGAAGGACTTAATGCTTTATACTATTGCGTAGAACTTGTTCTCGCGATTTTAATGGTGCAAGAAAAATAATTTTGAAAAATGTGGCGTTACTATTGTATGCCTCTGAGGTACAGTATTGTAGTATTCCATTCGAAAACATTACCCCTTACTGTAGGATAACATTGTCCTGTTTTGTAAGGGCCCACACCTTTTACATACATAAATTTCATATGGACCGACACTCAGATCCGTAAGAAATATCTGTGGTTCACACAAATAGTTGTCTCGTGAAGGAATCGAACCAACGATACCTAACGCAGAAGCCAAACTTTGGCAACTGCGCCATGGAGTCGTCAGGGCTCGTTATTAATTATTAACTCACAGCACCATTCCTCTTGACCATCAAAGCGTGACAGGCATGATGGGGTCCACCCGCTTCCCTCTGCAGCCAGAAAAGATCTCCAGTAGGACTCAAGCGTGGCGATCGGACAGACATGCCCTCTGCTGAGATTTTAGCTGAAAAAGATAAAACTTTTTTCAATTTACATTATTAGGGTTTGGAGTTTACAAAACTTACTTCTAACCAAATGATATTTTTTTAATGAGTAACTTTAATTATGAACTTGTTATGTATGCAATCTAAGTTGCATTATATTTGTAATGTAATGCATGTTTAATAATTATTATTCCTATTTAAATAATAAAAATATATGCTTAAAATATATAAACTGGTAACTGTCACAACTTAAGTTTCTTCCTTTTGAGATATACTGGGTGTCTTTATCTATCTCACATCCCACAAGGATAGACAAACATGGGGAACATTAAAATGTTTGGGTGCAATGGAATAACTAAAACCTTAAAGGTTGCCAATAAAAATGCTAACTAAATAATGTTATTGTCTATGTCTGTGCGCAGCAGTAATCACTTAACGACAGGTGAAGCTTAGTTAAGCGAACAAACTAAAAACGTAAGAAAAGTTGATTATTCCAACATCTAGGTGAGAGGGGATGCTAGTTCTTTATTCTTTGTGAATGCAAATAAAAAGAATAATGAACTGGTTCACGACTTACTCAGTATTCCGTCCAAAGTGAGGTTAAAAATGTAGGATGGCCGATTAGTACAGAATATCAATCCCAGACGTCTCGGTTCAGTCTCCCATGCGACACCATAAACACTCAGGCCATCATTCGCAAAACGAACCTGGAACACAACATTATTTAACTATTTATTTATTATTTATTTAATATTTATGCACAGATAACTACACGGGAATACTGTGGAATTTTCTACAAGTCAATCTTAGGGTAGTGTAGACAAAGCGAGTTAGGTGCACAGATATAGCATGTGTAAAAATAAAAGGTTATTCATGAACTCAATACCCAAACAATAACAACAGATCAAAAATTATATTATTATAGTCATCTTAATACTTTAATACTAGGTGTATATTTCATAATAAGATAATTGAGGGTGCTTAGCAAATGTTGTAAAAATTTCGTTAAAGGTCTTATATAGGTTATTTTGTGACTATAGACGGGTAGTTCTCCATCACTTTACCTGCCCAGGGCACCATGACTCCGGCAGCCCCTCCAATACAGTGATGCTCTCTGTGGCAAGTTTACATACAACCACTACTGATAGATGTTTGCCAACCAGCTGCTCGCCCCAGTCTTGCCTGTAGAGAAACTCTTCTCCCTAACAGAATAAGTAATATATAATATATCACATATAAATCATATTAGATTTATATCAAACTTTCACCAAGGTCAGTTAATGCCAGACAACCACTAAGCCAGTTTTTATAACAAAAGTGGTGGAAAAAAAATTTTATAGTGGTAATTGTGCAGAGGCACGTAAGATTAAACATTAAAATTTTGTAGAAAAAAAGAACGAAAAGTCTCTCGCCGCTTTGGGAATCGAACCCACGTCTTCGGGATATGCGCCCTGACGCTCTAGCCACTAGGCTAAACGGCTGATTTCCACATCGACGAAATTCTCAACGCCTTTTATCTACACGTCGCTCTTCTGTGGGGTCGTGGTACTTCCACGGACGGACCTGCCCATTCGTGCAACGCAACATTGAAGACTGTTGCGTGGCCCTACTACAGATTGTAGTCCTTTATAAGAGGTATGATATCTGTCACAAATGCAAATCTGTCATAGTGATATTCTAAATATATAAAAATCAATGTCTGTAGGTATATATATTCCCTATAGACTCCAAAACGGCTGAATCGCGACGCAGTGAAGTATTGCTAGTACTTATTCTATAAGATTAAGTGTTATATGTATAAAGAAGCCTTAATAAAAATATATAATATTATAAAACAGACTAAATAACTAACATGTAACAAAAAACATAAAGTAGAAAAACAACAGGATGACTTTCTTCATGGAAACCAGTAGAGATTTTTAACAAAACAAAAGTATTAATGCAAGTCTGATGGCATCACAAACTACTGCCTTTCTAAAAATAACTTCACCAACAACAATTTACTTTTCTTGGTGCAGACTCCCCACTGCCGTCGGCTTTAGGCTTGTCCTCGGACTTCCTCTTGATGTACGGTTCAGACTTCTTCAGTTTCTTCTCTGCAACATAAACTACAGCACTCTCGTCCTGCGTCCAATCCAGGGTACCAAACTCCGCTATAAATATAATGTCTTAAATATCACTTAACTTTAATTACATATTTTTGCCCATGGATAGCCATGGGTTTGCATTTACGTGCACAACCTCTAAAAGGCTATATACTGATTACCTCACTCATCAGGCAAAATGCAAGATTATAAATATATATTATGAGGTCAATGTTTTTACCCACTGAAACAAACACTGAGGTGGAAAACGAGGTTTCATATGGAATGCACCGAAGCTTTTTAGTCTACAAAAATTCATCTGGGGTAATTACCATGGAGGAAAAACTTTTGACTGTAATAAAAAGAGCTTAAGTTACTAATGAATTAATATTTTTTTTTCTTTTATGTGAGAAAGTGGCAAACAAGATGGTGATTCACCTGATGTTAAGTGATAACCACCGCCCATGGACATGCGCAAAACCCATAGGATTGCAAATGCATTGCCACCTTTAAATAAAGTGGGCCCCAGCTACATCACCAGACGAAATGCAGAAATGTAACACTCCTACTTTACTCCAGTTCATCAGTGGTACTTACCCTGATGGACCTGCCCATCAAACCGTGAACACTGTTATGTGTGGCCCTACCATAGTTAAATAAATTTAGGAGTATAATTATTGTTTAATAAAAACAATAATTATACTCCTAAAGTACTTGACATATCTGTATATGTTTCTCAATAAGTATGGCCTCCTTCTATGAACTTTGATATTACTATACTAATAAATAGACATACAGTCAGCATAAACATCGCCATGAACATCAAGTGAAGTTAGGTCAATACAATGGTCTAATTTGTGTTGACACCACACTTCTAAGTACTGTTTCTTGGACTCTTTGCCTTCCTTCTCCTCTCGTATCAATGCCTTGAACATTCCTTTTGGTGAAACTGCTGACAGCAGTCTGAAAATAATTATTTTTATCATCAACAATAGAACAAAATAAAGTTAATAAACAAGTGCCATGATAATGCTAAGAAGAAATGCATCACCAGCTCTATAAACTTTATAAAATATTTATGATAAAGCAGCTTCTGTTACGGGTTATCAATGCACCTGTAACCAAACTGGTGATAAAGATATCCATAGGTTTGGCACTGTCACTTATAAAAAATAGCAGGTAACAAATTTACTTACTCATTGCTCACATCTACACCAAAGTCACTTTGATAGATAACATTCAATTCCTTGTCTAATACGTAATCATGGACATATTTTGTTGGCTTCCCTTTATCCAAGTTTCGTACTGACCATTTGCAGGAGATTTTACTTCCATCATTTTTCAGGTGGCCTTCCACTATAGATGGTATCTTTGTGAGAGTTTTGTATGCATTCACTATTGTTTCGATCTGCCAAATTTAAAAATGATGATGAATACATTATTCATTCACTTTTAAATAATATGAAAAATGTTTTTACTTTATGATCTAGCAACTAAAACAAATAGTTGTATTTAGTAAAACAGTTCTAAAATATTTTGAGGTAGAATATCAGAAAATCATGCACAACTTACTTGAGATGACATCCTGTGCATCACCTTGTACCGACTATCTTTTTTTCACGATTTATTTAATTATTAAAACCCTAATTTTAATATAAAAATATTTTTTGTTCTTGTAAACACATTAAAAGTACAATTTTATGAGTATAACAAAGTCGTGAAGTCATGAACGTTATATTAGTTACGCACTGTCTCCACCAGATATATAAAAGTACTCTTTGGTCTCCACTATCATATCAATTACTTAGTTGTTTGAAGATTCAACCGCGAGTCGTAACAATGTTCGACAGCCTTATCAATGAATAACTTTCTTATCAACGAATGCACGAATCATAAAAAAACAAAGAAACACACGGTTTACGAGACTACGTTTAAAATATTCCATATATTCATAAAATTTTTAGTACTCTTAGAAAGAAACATGGATTTTACGAGTTATTATAGAAAAACAGCTGTTTTATATCCCCGCTAAATGTAGGATAAAATATTATTAATAACAATAAATATAAAATAACAAAAGTATGTACCTAACTTATTTATTGGCTATATTCAATGCAATGTAATGATAAACGATAATGATTTCAGGTATATAAATAAAAGTACCCCTTTATGAAATTATTTTAATATACAATGACAAATGCAAATACGAAATACGAATAATAAAACGTCAATCATTGTTTTAGCGATGGCGATGACATTGACAGCGATGACACATTAATGCAATGTGTCAAACTGTCAACCATGAAAATCCTAATTGTGAGAAAGGATTCAACTTGACATTTACTCCGATTTCTTTCAGATAAATTTATTGAGATAACTTAAATATGCCTAAGCAAAATTCTTGAGGACGAATGCTGCAATCTGCTTCCGAGAAAGCATATATTGAGTACTAGCTGCCGCCCGCGACTACATCTGCGTAGAATGGGCTGAAGGCGTAACATTCAGACAGAAATACATATATACATAAAAATATGTATTTAAATTATAGCCTATGTTGTATTCTGATGTATAAGCTATATTATTGTAAAGTCTCATTAAAATCCATTTAGTAGAATGTGCGTGAGAGAGTAACAAACATCCATCCAGACATACAAACTTTCGCCTTTATAATATTAGTAAGGATAATATAGTTCATAGATAAGACATATACAGCGTGTCGTTACAGCCGCGACATTAAATGAGCACACGTCTAACACTAATTGCCAATAATCATAAAAAAAATATAAAACGTAACAAAATCCATAATTAAAATAAATATATTTTACAAAAAAACTATTTAAATAAAAAAAAAAAACAAAATTTGTAACACCTATACAACTACAACTGACTGATTCATACTTTCAGAGACTTTATCATTCGTTGCCAAAACGTCGCATTACAAGTCTCTCCTAACAATATATTTTATCTCTTTTAAATTCATTCAACCCATTCATATGCTTTGTGACCTTTACAAATGTACTTTACATTACAGTTTTATACGTAAGGTGTTCTAAAATTGTTGGTTTTGGAAAATTTAATAACTCGCTGAATATTGATGTTTTAAGAATGTAAATGCTTAATACAATTTTAAAAAGTTATCCTCTATATGTGTGTTCATTTCATGATTTAATGTTGCGGTTGTAACGACATCCTGTATACTGATATAGTTCTCTAGTACCCCAAAATGACATAAGTTTTTTTGAAGATGGCGCTTTTATGGGTATTTTACCAAGCGTCAAGTAGACCAAATATAATACCTAGATGGCAATAACACAGAATTCATATTTTTGTGGGTTAACAGATTATTGCATAATATGGCTCGGTTATATTTATATGTTTCAACTTACTGTCAGGCTAACATTATTAAAAACTAACCCAAAAGAAACTTACCGTAAATCTGTTATAGCAACTTGTCCAATTATTAATTTATTAATTTGAGTTTTGTTACAATTAATTGTTTTAATTCACCTTATCATAGGAATTTCTACACTATTATCAATATTAGATCTCCATTTTAAGCAGTTTATAGTTCAGTAACATTTCTTGCCCTCTCCTTCTGGTAAGGCACGCCGCCACCCGAGTCGTTAAGGATAGAGAAAGCGGTCAAACCCAACACTATTCTTATCCCTTGGCCGACTCTGCTTTGGTCGCAATGGACAGGGAAAGTGGCTCCTCCTCTATCACCCTCGACTTGTCCCCCGCATCCTCCCAACGCATCCAAAGTCGGCTCAATGAGCCCAAACGGAGCAGCCTACTCGGGCAGACCTAACACCACAAGCCGACACAGCATGAGTTGTCCTCTTGGTATCACCGTAGATGACCAAACCACGGCTGAAAAGCCCCTCCGCAACGACAACACCGAGGTCTCGGTCAGAGGTATTGTCTAGCAGTACTTGCACAGGCATCTATAAAAATGACACTAAGACGCAAAATTAGTTTATAAGTTTATTTGCGTTTATATGTCCTATAATACACGAGTGTCAGATTTTTAAATATTCCGACCAAACACTTCACCGCTTCCGCTTCAAGTGGTTTGAACAGATTTCTTTATCGTAGAACCAGCACTTCGTGGTTTATTCTGAAGGCCGAATTGCAATGCTAAAATTAACTACTTGGTCCACCTTCTTTAAAAAAATACTCAACTGGAACCCGCAATATACCGAAAACGAATTAACGCGCGCTGTAAATAGCCCGTCACTGCTAAATAGCGGCAATAGTGGCCCGAACGGGTTAATGTCGTAAATTACCACAGCGTCACCGCGCCTGTATAATTTTTGAATATTTTGTATTTAATCTTCATTAATGAAGTGTTTTTTTTATTTTAATTTACATAACGCGATAGTTGTGGAAAGCGTGAGGCCTCATCACGTTATCGTCCTACGTCAGTCCTTTATACATTAACTTCATAATTGTCTCTTTAATCCGTGTCTGCGTATCAGTAAATTGTTAACTGGTCTGCCAAGTCTATGCCTCCGGCTAATTACTAATTTATCTTAATTACCTGTCTACTGTCAGGCTGTCACTGTCAGTGACCACTGACCACGACCAGTCTGTCAGTTGTTGAGCTGAGGTTTACATTCAGCATCAGTAGCATAGCAGTAAGCAGTAAACGTAAGGTACCTAATCATTTATCATCTTATTAGTTTGTTGTGGTACATGAGTACTAACTTGGCAAGAGCACAGTATACTGGTATTGGTTAATGATCACTTTATTAAAAATAGTTTTCTTCTAGAATTGATTTCGATTGAAATATTATAATAACGATTTGAAAAATACTTTATATAGCAATTCAGAGACATGTCTTTTAAAAAAAGTTTCGAAGTACTTAGTACGTTAAATGAAAAAGTTCGTAATATTAGTTTTCTTTAAAAGATTGCGCAAAACCTAAAACATTATTTAAATCTGTCCAAGATCAATAAATTAATTCTTTTAAATATTTTTAGATGCGGGAAGCTGTCGTATTATTGCGGAGAATAAAAGTAATTGAATGCAAGAAATGTTCAAATGCTTTCACCAAACGGAGTGATTACAAAGTTCATAAATTAAAACATGACCTACAGACCTTGTAAGTTTTTTAAAAACATGTCTTGTCTTAATTCATTTATAATGGTTTTACATTCTGGCTAATGGCTTTTAAACAGAATATGATAAATAAGGTATTTCAAAAGATTGTACAGAAATGCTTTTTTAAAAATATTAGTTTCCATGATTCAAAATGATTACACAAAAATTTTATTTTCTTATTAATTTTTAGACAGAAGCGCAGAAAGGAAAAAAATAAATTATATTACCAAAAAGTTACAGTTGCTGGTTATGAAAAAAAAATTGAATGTGAAGAGTGTGATATGAAATTTGTAGAAATGAGCACCCTCAAAGCTCATTCAGCTTTGCACAAGCCTTTCCCGCATGTATGTGACTGTGGAATAGGATTTTATGTCAAGGAAGACTTAAAATGTCACATGAAACTAGCTCATGGTGATGTAAATATAAAAGAACCTAGTCCAAAGAAGCTGAAAAAAAACATGATCATAATTGGTACTAAGAAAAACAAAAATCCTCTGAATAGGTGTGAAACTGAAATTTAAATGACAATTTATAGTGGTTAATTAATTTTATTTTATTTATCAAAATATGAGACTGCAATTTAAAACTGTTCTTAAGTCATTAATGTATAGTTAGTTATTTTTGACATTTCATTATTTTTCCTATAGTTAGTTCTAAGATGCAGCCAAATAATTATTTTTAACACAAAATATAATTAAGTTATTAGATATGTTTAACATGATATTTAACTTTAGAATTAACACAGGGAGTAACAGAACTTAGAAGCTTTAATCATTAAGTAAATTGAATTCGAAAAAATTTCTATGACAAATCAGTCTTATTGTTATTTTTTTTATTTTAAACAAAGTTTGTAACTACTAAGACAAATGTCTTTTTTTGTTTCAATGCATAAACTGGATTTTCCAAATTTGTGCCATTTGATACAGTTTTTCGTTTGATTATACTTATTAAGATTAGTTTTAATTTTGGAAAGATTGACAATGAGTGGACAAAAAAAAATAAAGTGATGTCATGATGATTAAAAATTTTTACTATTATTTACGTCTCTTTATTTCACTCAGAATCTTTTTTTTATAACCCAATTATTACAAAGTTTACAGTAAATGTTATATGTTATTACCAAAAGCATTTGATAATTCGGCCTACACCTCATAGCACGTTATTACAATAGGTCAATATTGCAAAAATCTTTTAATTACAAGAACTAAAAATGCCTTTCAAATTCCTTTTTTGCTATTAAAAAGTATTTTCCCTTTGGACCAAATTTCGTATTGGTCCAAAGGGCCGGCAAAAAATTTCGCCGGCATCTAATTCATTTCAATTATCAATCGAATGTTAAGGGATAAAACCCTTAGCTGTGAATGTTACAACCATAGAGTAACTTTGTATACTTGGTTACAACTTACCTGTGATACTTACCTGTCATAAAAAAATCAAAAAAAGAAGATTTGTTAAAACGCCATCTTTCTAAAAACTATGAAACTAATTAGAATTTAAAAAGGACTCGCTTATTTTCCTAACGCAAAAGATAATTAAAATGTTTGACACCCAAAATACAAACTGCACATTACTCAATTACATTTTATTATTTAAACATTATTCAATAAAATACTTTCTGTTTTGTCAACCACGTTATATCATTATAATCATGCCGTTTTTAGCTCTAATAAATGTTCATAATCAGGTTTAACTTAACTGACATCTGTCGGGTAAACATAGAACCTTACCTCTTTTTTATGCTAAAGTATAGCAAGAGAAAACAACATAGAATTACTTAAGTACCTACCTACCTACTTTTCATAATGATGCGTATATGCAAACTTCCGCAAGAAATTTCATCAAATAAGCTTATATATTATAAAACGTTTTGGACATATCTTACAATTATGTCTAGATTCTTAGACCTAATTGTAAGATATATATAAGATAGACTAGGTAAGCCGCTTGGATTCGAATGTAGTGATGTGGATAAAAAATCTTGCCTATGCAACATCAAGCCACCGATGAAAGGGCGAAAGAAGCCAAAGAGTCCAATTGGACTTCGTGGGGCCTATTGGAGCTAGTTTTTAGCACTATAATAATTTTAATTAAGAAAAGATTTACACGTTTCCCGGAAGTTATTTCGCGAAACGACTTTAAAGAAACGACTATAAAAAAATAAAAAATGGTACCTACTTTTTATAATTTAATGGTATAATTCTCATATAGCCAAAACTCAAAGATTTATCGTTTGCAGCCTCAGTTTAGGTGAACAAACAACGAAAACAAATATTTTACTTACTACCTAATTATATGCCTTTTATTAGATAAATTGCGTAAACGGTATAGGCTATACCATACAATTTACTCAATGAATTATACTAACGATAAGTGATAAACTGATGTATACTCACGTAAACGTGTAATATAATTACCAAGGTACGTTTACATACATAAAAATGTATAGAACTATGCGGCCAACGCGTCGCCGTGACGCGCCGCTCGATACGCGCGGCGCGCGCGTACCGCGCGTCACAGCCCCAGTGCTGGCCCCAACTGCCTCCAAATCGCACCCCAGTAAAAATTATCTTCATCATACATAAAACAAACCACCGGCATAGCGTACCATCGCCCAAACGTACTAGTTATTTTTTTTTAAATTGAAGTAGTTTAAATTCATTCGCAGATAAAATCTACAATAATTACGTAGCAATTAACGAGCCCACTAACCAGAGGTAAGTTCAGGTTAATCATTGTCATACTTTGAAGACAACATCGATTTAATGTTTTATATTTAAATAAGATTTCATATAACTACATGCTTTTATATGTATATTATATTGGAATGAACATCGAAAATAGTTGTTATCATTGTGCCAAAATTTTAAAATTAAATCACAGAAATTTGGAAAGAAAATATTAAATTTCCCGCCTATAATTTCAAGGGGAGACGGATCTGGCAACGATCCGCGTCCGAAATGAATGAACTCGATTTGATAAAAGAAGTTGAGAAACGAACTATTTTGTACGACAAGTCTGTAAGCGGTTTCAACAAAACCAAGCTAAGAGACGAAGCATGGAAGGAGGTTCAAAATGCCCTTCGTGTTTCAGGTAAAAAGGTCCTTAATAGTGTAATTATATTAAATAAAAGTGTAATTTGTCTTCTACTAGTCGTACCTTAATCAGATGATGCAGATTTGAATCGCTGTGGTGTTTTTAAGGTTTACCTCTTGGATGTGTTTAGTGTTAGGCTTATTAGTTGATATTATGTGGTAAACGTGTACCACATAATAAATTCCGTGATGAAAAATGCTATTCATATCGCATAGCATTTTTCAGTTTTTTGTCCGAGCCCCTCTGAATTGAAGGTTGAAAGACTTAATGTTTTATAATAAAATTAGGTCTCTCCATACATGTTAAACTGCTTGGTCACGGCCGCTTCTGTGTATAGGAATCCTTCCTGTAATTCCCATATTTGCCACCAAGTATGTATGGATCGGAACGTCAAATCATAAATTATAATTCAATTAACGTTATTCACGCGTGATGAATTAAATTTTATTACCATTGCGTTCACTGGGCCACCACGGTAACCGAAAAATACGCTGAGCCGCAAAAATAACAGGTCGCGGAATATCTCCCAAAGTTGTTTAAATAGATCACTCGTAACGCTTATTATAAATCTGATAATAACGTTATTGATACTTAACGATACATGTTAAAGCTTAATTACTTTTTTCCTAGAGTTATTGCCGCAGCTAATAACAAGATGGCTGGTTCTTTTCTCGCTCAAAGATTAATCAGTACTATTCAGATTTTAGCGAGGAAATGCAGCGAGAGTTCTTGACACCATGGCGCGTGGACGCAGTTTATTAGATAATATGTAATTTAGTTACATTTCATGTTATAAATATTGGATGTAAAATATTCTTTTATATAATTGTAGCAAATTGCTTAATAAATTAAATTTTAGTATTTTAGAAAATAACAAAGTGCAAATATTAGAGCAATAATACTAAATTTATTTTCATGGTTCTCACAAATGACATATTTAATCCTAAGACCTCCATTGACTTTGACTATTGACGCTAAGAATGCTGAGCGACCCCATAAACATAGCAAAGCCAAACAAATGGATGGACCTACTAGCGGACACGTAAACGATATCCTAAATCTAAATCGGATCTAAGTTTTATCTGGACTCCCAAAACTAAATCAACCTCTGACGGGCAATACTTTAGCGATCGCAATAGACATTGCAAATCAACCTGTGACTTTTCCCTTGACGTAACCTTGAAATCGACAACGACGGTCGAACGTGCTGCACTCAGTCGGCCCGTGTCGCGTTCCAGAGGCCGAATGCAAGAAGCGCTGGCGCTCGCTCCGGGACTCCTTCATTAAGCTGCAACGCACCCACGGCAGCAGGACGAGGTGGCCTTACCTCAACGCGATGCGCTTCCTCCTGCCGCACATCGAGCCCAAGCCGGACATGTAAGCCGAGTTCCACTTCGGACACTCCTTTCTCCCGCCCTTGTTTTCACACAGTGACATCTTCCGATTTCCTCCAGCAACCGTCATCTACTCACCTTTCACACATATCGTCACACATCCATCCAAGCCTTTCTCTTCTTTCACACATGTCATTCTTTACACAGTCTATCCAAGCCTTTCTCGCCCTCTAGTCTTATTACCAACATTCGTAATTTCATTCATGAACACTCTTCCACCTATACTACTTTCACTCCTTCCCGTGACTCGCCATTCCGTTACGCTCGATGGTGAGTCGATCGAAATTACTTTATTCGATTTGGTTATTTTTTTAGAGCTAAGAGAGCTAGAGTTTTAGAGCCGTGGAGTAGCTTCTGTTGATGCATGTGTGGCTCGTTTTTGCGGTATTTTGGCCAAACGGAATGTCGGCGGAAACTAGACATATTATAGCATACTTTTTTTTCATATACAATGAATCATTATTGGATTAGTACCTGCTGAAGCAAAGAGAGTGTCTCCTAACGTTCCAGACCGGTCAAAAAAGAGCTGGATGACTCGGACCCTGAGGAGGATGTGCGGCGTCCGCCCAGTCTCCGCGAGGCCTCACCGTCGCCGGACCTCGAGGATGACGAGGACTCGCAGCCGTCGCCGAAGAAGCCCCGCCTCCACTCCACCGACGAGGAGAGCACGTGCCAGTGCAACAGGACCGACCCCGACGAGCTGTTCTTATTGAGCTGCTCGCCCACGCTGAAGCGGCTGAGCTCGAAGAGGAACGCCGTCGCCCGCCTTAAGATCCAGCAGGCGCTCTACGAGGCGGAGTTCGGTGCCAACGCAGAGCTGGCACAGATAACACCCGTCGAGAATGGCTACGCGGAGAACGGCGCCGACTGACAGCGCCCTCTAGGTCCCCCCTCAATAGACCCGCACGCGAACCCCGACTTTGCAATCGACCCAGACTCTTTACTGTGTCTACTCACAGACATTGGCGAAGTGTACCCGTGCTTCGATCCAAATAATTTATCATAGGTGTTTCAATGAAAGTTATATCATATTAACAGATCGATGTTTATGTTTAAAACAAATAGAAATTATGGATTTTAATCGATATATAATCCTGGTCCAGTGGTATTTTAAATGATGAATAAATTATGTTTGAATGTGATCTTTTGTGAGCCTTCCCATGTATTAATCCGAATTATGTAATCTGTTGTTAGGCCAAATACATTAAAAGCTTGATTGTAATACTTGATAGATCTTAGCTAAGGCTAAATGGATGCTTTGAGGTCGTGGTCCAAAAGAAAGATACTATGTTATCGAATCCAACCAAAACGTAAATTAGGATACTTATTTGTTCGCTGAATTTCATCCGTAAATGGTAAAAAAAAAGCGAAATAGGCAGGAGATTACATTTGTATATCAATAACTTTTTACTGAGTCAATCAATTTATCTTCAAAGTATACATCGCTATCTTTAAGGGGTATAGTAATATTATAGTATATATATAATATTTTATAGTAATATTATAATTCATAATTAATCAAGGACTGGTAAGTTCGTGTTAAAAAAGCAAATGAACGGCTAAATATTAACGTTATTATAATCAAGAGTCAGTCAATGATGACGCTCATCAGCCAATAATTAATATTAATTAAATTATAGAACTATTGAATGATGTTAAAAAAGTGTTAAAAATATGTTTCATGTATCATCATATCTTTTAGGATAAAATGCAAGCTAATAATTGGCAGACGTAACTAATTTACTCTGCGGCGTGCTCTTTTTAATCTGTAGTATAATGAACAATCTAATGAATTTGCAACGAGTAGTTATTTTCGCTGATTACACTTCCATTGCAATCTGTCACATTAATTAATGCTGTGTGCAGCGGTAACAATTAAAACGTACTGAAACACGGTAAATCGAATCAAAACAATGAAAATAATTTTTGGATTCTAAGAAAGAATCAAAGATAATACAAGAGTCAACGTCACATGATTCCGGACCAATCAGATGTAGGTATCTATTTTCAATAACAGTCAACTTGACCTTGTGGCCTAATAGCTTTCAATGAATTGAATCTTGAACTCTCCTCGCGTTTGACACAACAAGTATATTATTTTCAACAAGTATCATTATTTTCAACAATTAATTTGGATAAATTAAGGTCATTGGCTGGAAATCTACACTTTTAGGTAATCAATCAGGATAGGCCCGGTCGTGATAAAGCTTTTTTTGCTGTATTTTATATATGAACGTGACAGTAACTAAATAAAAAAAATTATGTGGCAATAAAATTGTAATTAATTATTATTTATAAAACATTGGTGTTAGAAGGAGACAGGTTGAGCGGGAAGAAAGGAAAAAGCGTTATTAATAATAATGCTTTCTCCTTGCATGGCAATTTCTTCCTATTTATTATTTAATAATTTATGTACACGGAGAGTTATGACAGAGATGTAAATACAAGAAAGAATTTGTACAAACTACCTTCCTACTTACACCTTGTATTTAGGTATTTGGAATATACAGCGTGTCTTTACAACCGCGACAATAGATGAACACACGTCTAACGCTACTTGCCAATAATTATAAAAAATATAAACGTTGAAAAAAATCCATAATTAAAAAAAAATATTTTTCAAAAAAACTAATAAAAAAAAAGGAAACAAAATTTGTAACATCCACAACTACAACAGGCTGATTCATACAATGAGCGCTGATTCATACAATGAGCGACTTTTTCATTCGTTGCCACAGCGTCGCATTACAAATGTCTCCTTCTAACAGTATGTTCTATCTCTTTTTAATTAATTCAACCCATTCATATGCTTTGTGACCTTTACAAATGAACTTTACGTTACAGTTTTATACGTAAGGGTGTTCTAAAATTGTTTGTTTTGGAAAATTTCATAATTTAATAAAATCGGTAAATATTGATGTTTAAAGAATGTAAATGTTTAATACAATTTTAAAAAGTTATCCTCTATATGTGCGTTCATTTATTGTTGCGGTTGTTGCTAACTACCAACATGTGCGTTTCTTGTACATGAAAATCAATGGGATAAATACAACGTCCGAGACTGTATAAGCAATTACATGTAAGTGTAAGCAATTACTGTGTAAGATTCGCATGAACGCTGTCTACTAAGTAACTACATCGCATAGTTAGACAGCCATTAAGACTATAAACCATGGCATAGACTACTATAACAGATGTCGAATGATCGAGAATATGTTTTGAAAACAATGCTCCATTAGAATGTAAGATCAAGATTAACATATTTTTTTTTTGCTGTTATAAAGTGTATAAATTGTGCTAAAAATTTTTTTGAAAAACCTATTTTTACTGCATACAGCGCCTCTACCAGTCAACCTTTGGGTGGTCCAGAGAAGTTTAAGTAGGTGCATTGATTATAAAAAAAAAGAGAGATTATTGAAAAAAAAATACAAAACAAATTTATAAGGGATATTGACGACCCGAATAGCGTAGTCGGTAGTGTACCTGCCTACTGCGCCAGAGGGGTGTGGGTTCGATCCCCACTACTGGAAAAATATTGTGTGATGAGCATAGTGTTTTTCTAGTGTCTGGGTGTTTATATATGTACAATGTATATTTATTTACAAAAGAAAAGTATGTTTAAGTATGTCTATCAGTTTTCTTGTATCCATAGTACAAGCATTGCTTAGTTTGGGACTAGAAACGTTGTGTAAAAAAAATGTGTCTTAAATATTATTATTACATAAAATACTATACTGGGCATATAAAAATAAAAATAATAATACTTACAATATATTGCAATCATTATGTACATACAGAAAAATAAACGTATCTAAATACAAAATACGTATATACATAAATAATATACATACTAACTTATATGATTAAAGTTAACTTCCTTCTCACTTTTCACTGCGTCGTTCTTAACGTTAAGGAAAATTGAAATTGAAACTTCTGTATGCGTCTAAATCTGACACTGATGATACCCGTTCAACTTTATCCAGGGGCGGATTTCCCTATAGGCCAAGAGGCCCGGACCGAGGCCAGAAATTTTTAGGGGCCGGCAAAATATGGTGAAATTTATTTTAGTAGACGCGTCTTTTGCCTTACGCTCCTTCGCGTAGGCGATATTCTGTAAAAATTATAATAAATTAAGCGGCCGTGATGAGTTGCTTTTTTATTCCTATATTTTATTTTATTTTCCGTGGTTTAGTAGCGCCCGTGGCGAGTAGGGCGGTAATCATGTATATGTACACAAGGGCGGACACCAGCTTTGATTCCAGGGGGGGGGTCACGTATTCGTGTGTTCTATAAGAATTTATAATTTAATTTTTAACCGATTTCGAAAAAGGAGGAGGTTTCTCAATTCGACCGTTTATATAAATATTTTTTATGTGTCTTCGTGGATAACTTCGTCGTTTGTGAACCGATTTTGATGATTCTTTTTTTGTCGGAAAGTAGATATCCCAATGGTGGTACCATGATAAGGAAATCCGGATCTGATGATGGCATTTACAAGAAATCGAGGGCCATTATTGAATGTTATAGGTATTAACAATGTTTTTAATTTAAGCCGGTTTTTTTGTTAAAAATTATACTTGTTATAATCATAGATACAAGTAAAAAGTAGGTATTTTTAAACGACTTTAAAAAGATGGAGGTTATCAATTCGGATGTTTATATTATTTTATGTATGTTCGGGCATAACTTCGTCATATATAGACGGATTTGCAAAATTCTTTTTTTGTTCGTAACAATTCGTTGCTTTTTATTATCATATATTATACAGGATGGCTTTTATAAAGGTGCCCAAATTCACACAGGAGGTTCAAATTCGGTAGTAACCGTTTATTGAAATAAAAACAAAGGCTTTTTTTTTAAATTGGCATTCTATTGCCTAAAAAAAAACAGACAATGCGGTAGTCATTTATAAATGCGTCGTATACTTTTGAAAAGTGTTAGTTATGAATGATCGCGCGTAAAATAAAGTACCCGGAGGACTGAGCTTTGCTCGATTTGTTTTTTTTTTTTGGTAAATCGTGTATTTTGGACATTACATTTAGATACAAATTACTGTAATAAAACCGATTTTGCCGATGAACATATAGGGTCTGGTCGTTTTTCATACGTTCATATGACTATTTATTTCGAAAAAAAAAAAACATCCACTTCAATGACAAGTAGCCTAGACGGGATTATCCATCATCAGATCGTCGTTTCATCATTACAGAGTGGTTGTGGAATCTCCACATTAATAGACAGAAACGGGATACGGTACAAGTATTTCTGCGTTTTGTCTGGTAATGAAATATGCATAATATTTTTCGATCTTACCGACGTAATAATAAGAATATATGAACTGATGTTTTTCACAAAAGAAAGAACTTTAAAAAAAAGGGAAAAAAATAACAAAATAAAAAATCGACAAAAATTAAAAATAAAGAAAGCAATGATCTGGAATCGAAAAAAAGTAAAAAAAAAAAATGTGTAAATGATCGTGACGCGAACCGGAGCCGTCTGTTTTGGGGCCGCCCGATTACCGATCGAGCTATTATGACATTTTCTCTTGTGGCGAAATTTACCGTCATATTCGAATTATATTTTTCATTCCCTGAAAACAGGGATAAACATTGGGACATTTTCTAAAAATGAAACCTAGCCAGATCGATTTTTCGCCCCCGAATCTATGCACATACTAAATTTCATGAAAATCGCTGGAGCCGTTTCCGAGATTCCGATTATATATATATATATATATATAAGCCAAAAGTTTCAAATAGAGCTAAAAAAGTAAATTTTGATTTAGCCTTATATTGATTAAAAAGTCCAAACGGATAACAAACTTCTTGGAGATTGCACTGCGAATTTTTTATTGTGTATTTTTACAACGTCGAGTGAATAAAATCAAAAGTTTCAAATATTATTTTGAAGCCTTATATTGATTAAGTCCAAACGGATAACAAACTTCTTGGAATGCATGCGAAATAGTTAGTATTATAATCGATAAATTTTCTATAATCGATAAACTATAACAAGGTGGCCACGCATTGGCCTCAACAGCGTAGAGAAATCTAAGAAAAGCCACATTTCGCGTTCCAAATTTAAAATTTTCTAAATCAAAATAGAAGTACTTGAAATCAGAGCGCTGATAAAAAACTCTTTATTAACCTTTGTCAGCGAATTATTCGGGTGATTGTCAAAGAAAGTTAGGTATAAACAGAGCACAGGGTTAAATTCTAAAAAATGTATTAAAAACGATGGTTTTGTAGTTCATCCATATACGTAAGTGATTTTTCATACCTGCTTTTTATTACCTACTCTTACACCATGGAGGTTTAATATTCACTAAAACTTTCTTAATCGATGTTTACGGTACGACAAGTTTCTATGCCGAGCGGTTAGCTGCTCGTTGACAGATCTGTAAGCTAGTCTGTTAAGGCCCATTTACACGATGCCATTTTCTTGAACATACAAGAGCAATAATTGAATGCAATAAATTGCGCGCAATAATTGTTTAGACCATTTCTTGTTTAGTCCATGCAACTCATTTATTGCTTCAATTTAATTGTATACAACAGGCAAGAAACTGGCACCGTGTAAATGGGCCTGCCTTTAGTTTCTCGAATACACTGCATTAAATTGCTCGAGTTTCTTTATTATTAAGTCTGATTAGTTGGAAGTAGACAGCAATTTTTAATATAAGTCTTTACAATATGCTTTTTTCTTAAAACAAAATCGCTCACACATAATCTGTTGAAGTTTTTAATAGGTATATTATATGGTGTTGAACATACCATAAATTAACAACTTCCTAGGAAATTATTGATACAATTTTGAATAATGTCTATTGATGTAATTTGAACTACTTACGACTTATACAGGATAATTAATAAACGTAGAATAACTTCCACTAAATATATTTCCCTTTAATGTTTAACTATAACTGCTTTTAAAATTGTGTTAATATAAACAAACATGTATAAGTTTCAGTGTATTTGTACGAGTGTTTGGTAAGTTTAGTTTAAATTTTAATACACGCGTGATTAAATTCTAAACGATGTAATTAAATAGAATTGCTGCTTATATAATTCGATTGTTATCGTGAATAAATAAGTAAACCTGACCTTTTTAATCTCTACTTTACCCTTTAACTGCCATTAACCGCTATTTATTACATAGGAAAAAAACTGATAATCAAGAAAACAATGACAATATAATAACAAATAATTTATTAAAATTTATCTATGCCATTCGTTCGCACATTGCTAAAACGTCGAATATCACATTTGACTTACGAACTAGGTAGCTTATAACATTAATGATTTTATCACAATGTTTAAAAATACAACAAATACTTTTCTTCACAATAAAAAGTACAACGGTGATTAAAATTATAAATTCCTGCCTATCGGGCCGCGACCATAGAAATATAATTTTCTTGCAATGTTTTAATTCAATTCGCATTCTATTAAGCCATCGTGAATCGCGCGCACATATTGCTTCGTTAGGAATTTGTTTTCAACCACAAAAATATACACTTTATTTTTAAAAACGCTCGTAATCTGCTATTTTTATAAATACATTTATTATCACTGTATAATAATAACCAATACGTAAAATTTCAACAAAGAAAACTTTGCTTTTTTGTCTATAGTATTTGTCGAACGTAAGGCAACGACGTCTTGAGGTGTTCTTTTATCGATAGCTCATTGCCGTATCTGTCGAGTAGTTCCAGAACCACGCCGTTGGTCCATCCGAAGCCATCTTGCACTTCGTACTCCCCACCGCCGCCATGGTGTCCCGGTTGGACTGCGCTGTATTTCTCGAACATCTTCTTCCAATTGCTATAGCCGATGTAGTTGGCGCAAATCCACAGGATGGCCTGCTCTTTCGCCAATACTCTCGCCTCGTCGTCCCCGCTGCTGTCCAAACCGCCGATCAAGATGCTTTGAGTCGGCGGCCACGCATTCGGGTAGTCCCACTGCTCGCCGGAGTTCAAAATGGACGAGGGAATGCCGCCGGGGAAGTCTAGGGCGCCGGAAGAGAGGAGATATCTGACTAAAAGCGACGCGTACTTCGGAGCGTCGTAGTCCTCAATGGCTCTGGTCCACAGGGGCGTGGCGCAGCTCGGGTAGAAGTGCCTCCTCTTCGCTTGGGCCATCGAATCGTAGTCGTACCACACGCCGTCCGCTTGGTCCCACAGCACGCGCTGTATCGCACTCCGCCAGTACTTCGCGAGGCTCCACCACTTCTGCGCCATGCGTCTGTCCTTCAGGCGGCTGCGGAAGTTGCCCACGTGCTCGAGCGCCCCCGCGAATATCGCGTTCAGATCGACCGGGATGATTTGGCTCGCGTGCACGTCGGTTATGTTGCCCATTATGTCGTCACCCGCAGTCACGAACCAACGGGATGAGAAGTCCCAGCCGCTTTCGGCGGCGCTCTTGATCTCTGCGTAGAAGTCCTCGCGCTTTTCTTCGTTGGGCAGGCCGCGGGCGTGCGTGTAGTCCTCGAAGTAAGACTCGGGCCGAGGTCCTTTGAAATTGGCGTCGGATAGGTACCGGAGCAGGAGGTACTTCTTGCCGTCCACCTCCACGGTTACTTTCTTATTGTCTAGCCAGTACTGCAGCTCTTTTTCAACGGTTCCGATGTGTTGCTCCAGCCAGCCGAGGTCGCCGGTCTCGGCGAAATAGCTCGCGACCATCGCCGCCAATAAGGGCGGCTGACTCCTCCCTAAATAATAGATCCTGTTGCCATTAGGTATGTAGCCGAGTTTTTCGACGAGGTAGAGCAGGTTTTCGATCATGGCGCGCGCGGTGTCTTTCATGTTGCTAAGCAAGAGCCCGCGTATCATCCAATAGGAGTCCCAGTAGTATAGCTCCTTAAACCTCCCCCCGGGGACGATGAAGCCGTTGGGCACGTAAATGAAACTGTACTGACCGGGATGCAGCATGATGTTGGGGTTCACTTTCCTGCCCAATTTAGCCCACAGGCCGATCACGTGTTTCGCGAACAGCCTCAGCTTGGGATCGGCGATGCGGTTGAGAATCGGCGGTTCGGGGTCGAAGTCGGGCGGCATCCAGTATTCCAGCTCGTTGCCCTCCTCGAAGTGCGCCTCAACGAATTCCATTATCTGCTGCCTCGACGGATTATGCTCCGTGTCGTGGATCAGTTTAGCGTAGTCGGCGAGCGTCTCATTCTCAGAGTGCCTCAGCTTGCGGTCGACGAACGTTTTCGAGTCGTCGAAGATGCGCGCGAGCTGCACCCTGTGGAGGAGGTCGCCGGCGCAGTAGATGGACGAGTTGCAGATGTTCACCGGCGCGAAGGCGTTGGCGCACGCGCCGAGCAGCCCCAGCACCGGGTACAGCGGCAGCAGACGGGGCATCCGCATCGTAAGCATCTTCACGGGAACGACCGCTTAAATGCGGGCGACACGCGACCGGTACGTCGCGGCACGTCGCGTCGCGTCGACAGTCGGACGACGAATGGCCGCGCGCCCGCCTAGCGACCGATAATAAGCGAACGCCATGCCCGATGTGTGTCACCGGCCGCATCCCGACGACCGCGGCCCGCGTCCCATCTCTGACGCAACGGCTTTCACTGGACACACCCGCGACTCTCGAGCGCTGTAGGTCACTATCGCCGCCCCGCCCCGCGTCACCGCATTCGACACGGACTAATCCATAGATAAGACATAAGTATATACTGACTAAACCGCAACGCGACGCGTACCCGCTCGTCGACTTTACAAACGCAACTGTCAGTGTCAGAAGTTCAGAACGTAGGACGGTAGTGATGGTCGCGTTTACAATATAGCTATATAACAACTGTAGACGTTGTTATAGCAATAAAACTTTTTGCAAAAATCGATGCCTTGAGATGTAAATATAAGGTTATATTTTAAAAATAAAAAGACAGTATATCAATGTGAAATATTGATACTCACGTAATTATTATAATGACATCGTCTCCCCTGTCGACGACGATAGGATACGGGCCGAGCGCGTCGCTCTGCATGTGCTCTTTTTTTTTAAGAAACAAAACCCTTTACTTTAGGATAATCCTGTGTGGTAAGGGCGTTTTTACAGACATAATTTTGACGTGGACAAACACCCAGATGTGAAAAAACTATCTGCTGGTCAGACAAATGCTGTCCCGTGTGGGAATCGAAACTCGGGAATAACTTGGCAACTGCACCACGGAGTCATCAAAAATCATTGATTCTACTCCAAAGGCAAGGGGACAGGTTGAGGGTGGTAGATTAGGAGCCTCTTTTCATGCCCTCTGGAAATCAGTGATAGCCACCTTTTATATCCTCGATTACACGGAAGGGCTGCGCTGCTGATGCAGCAGTGCAAAATGGACAGAGAAGGAAGCCGCGTTTTAAAATCCAGTGCACCTCATCTGGGGGAAAGGGGACAGCTTTTTTATAAAATTTCCGAATAAGTCATGAGGCTAGTGGTTGGTATTCCATACTTAAGATCTTAAGGTTCATTTCAAAATCAAAATCAAAATCAAAATATATTTTATTCAAATAGACGCTTGCGCGCTCTTATGAATCGTCAAATTTTACATCAAAGATTATGTGTATAGGTTCGTAAGGTACCACCGGTTCGGAAAGCGGTTTCTGTTGAGAAGAGACCGGCAAGAAACTCAACAGTTGCTCTTTTTCAAAAATATCAGGGTACAATATAATATACAGGTATAATAGTCTTATTCTAGCCTACGTGAGTATCAACAGTATTAACTCCACACATTGGCGTCGTCGAGATATTCCGAAATGGTATAATATGCTTTAATCATCAGTTGATTTTTAATTTTACATTTAAATTGGTCAAGCGGCAGACTTAATATCGACTGTGGGATTTTATTATACATGCGTACACTTTGCCCCATGAACGACTTATTTACTTTTTGTAGACGAAACAATGGCGTAGTAAGTTTGTCCTTATTTCTAGTGTTTATTTTATGTCTGTCACTATTCTTTAGGTAATAATTAAGGTTATGACGTATATACAAAACATTACAATAAATGTATTGAGAAGCAACAGTGAGTATATTAACCTCTTTGAAAAGATCTCTGAGTGAATTCCGGGCTCCGATATTGTAGATTGCTCGGACAGCTCTTTTTTGAAGAATAAATATAGTATTTATATCTGATGCACTACCCCCACAACAAAATGCCGTACGACAAGATGCTGTGAAAATAACTAAAGTAAACAAGTCTGGCAGTGTCGATGTCTGTTAGCTGCCTAACCCTTCTAATCGCAAAAACCGCGGAGCTCAGCCTATTCGCAAGAGATGATATATGGGGACTCCACTGGAGCTTTGAATCTACTGTAATTCCCAGAAATACAGCAGACTCAACTGGATTAATGGGTACGTTATTTAATATTAAACTAAAACTTTTTCTTCTTATACTGGGAAGGGTAAAAAGAATAAATCTGGTTTTTTTGGCATTTAATACCATATTATTAATAGTAAACCAGTGGAGGATATGTGAAAGCGCACTATTCACATCGTCATAATTTAATACGTTTCGGTCAACTTTAAAAATAAGCGATGTATCGTCAGCAAACAGTACAACATCACACAACCCACTGGCATAAAAGGGGAGATCATTAATATATACTAAAAATAATAATGGGCCCAAGATTGATCCTTGTGGGACTCCCATTTTCATCTGGGACCCAGTGGAATTAACATCATTTATAGATACTTTTTGAATTCTATTACTTATTATTTATTTACAATTTAACTTACTTTCTACATAACTTTTCAATTTTGTTTATTATTTATCGTCAAAAGTGAACACCAGACATTTGTGCTCCGTGAACCAGACACAAAAACACAATATGGCTATATCTCTTTGTCTACCTACCCCGTTATGGTTAAAAAAAAGCTTTCATTTTATTGCTGAGTACATCACGGGACTTAATACTATTTATAGGTTATTGGTGTAAGAATGAAAAATAACGGTTTTGATTAACACGTTACCCAATTGCACAGCACTACAGTGACGATAAGGAATGTTTAGCGTTCACGGCCAATAAACTGCGAGAACGACACACCTGCGTGTTTGACATATTCACGTCACCAACTCCGATCCGAGCGAGGCGAGCGACTGAATACGATTTATCGTAAAAGGTAAATGTTGACTATTAATTATATCATGGAAGTGAACCGAAAAGTGGTTATTCATGCTTATAAAGAGTTTCTTTGGTATAAGTATTTTTTTTAAGACGCGTTTGGAAAAACAGATCGACCTGCCTCCTGCACTAGAGGGTCCGGTTTCGATCCCACTACTGGAAAAATATTGTGTGATGAACATAGTGTTTTTCTAGTGTCTGCATGTCTTTATATATGTAAAATATGAATTTATTTACAAAAGAAATGTATGTTTATCAGTTATCTAGTACCCATATTACAAGCCTTGCTTAGTCTGGGACTAGAGAACGTTGTGTAAAAATGTGTCCTAAAATATTTATTATTATTATCTCTCTTCAAAATCTTTCAAGTTGAATTTAATATATTGTGAACCAAGGGCGGATCCAGGGGGCGAATCGGGTGTTGCACGAATGGGCAGGTTCGTCCGGGTAAGTACCACGAACTCGCAGAAGATCGGCGTGAAGTGGATGTGTCATACTTCTGCACACTTTATTTATAGGTGGAAACGCATCTGCAACACTACCAGTGTTGCAAACGTCAATGGGCTGCAGTCATCACTTAACATCAGTTAAACCGCCACCTCGCTGGCCACTTTCTCATGTAAAAAAATAGCGTTGAATTGTTATATTTGATTAACGGCTGGTTTATCCACTTTCTGCTTATATTGAATGAATTAATTTCCACTTTAATTCCCGACAGAAAAAGAAAACAGTAACTCTAAATTTGTCTATTAAGAAAATATTTACGACCGACGAAAAGTATTTCAGAACTGCTTTTTATTATTTCCGTATCATTACAGTATTGCTTTTGTTATTGCGCAGCACGTAAATAATTATACACAACTGTATAGAAAATTGAGATGATTGACGGTGCGAGAATCAGTTTTGTTACAATACGTAGACAAGGATAATTATGGATGTACGGAGGGAAAAAAACGTGCAGGCAAATTTGCATGACGGTCCCGTGTGGTTGATGAGACAAGCAACAAGAGAGCCAATGTCCGGGCGCTCGCTTTCAATTCATTATACTCGAGCGAAGACATCCGCAGTAGAACCAAAGTAACCGACATAGCTCAGAGGATTAGCAAGCTGAAGTGGCGATAGGCCTGCCATATAGCTCGTAGAACCGATAACCGTTGGGGAAGAAAGGTTCTCGAGTGGCAGCCTCGTACTGGCCATCGCAGTGTAGGACGACCCCCCGCTAGATGGAGTGATGACCTGTGCAAATGTGCGGGAAGTCGATGGATGCAGGTGGCTCAGGATCGTACTTCATGGCAGTCTGTGGGGGAGGCCTATGTTCAGCAGTGGACTCAAACAGGCTGAAATGATGATGATGATGATGATGACTCGAGCGACCTTAGTTGAAATCCCGGTGTCAGCACCAGTGAAATTGGTAACTTTAAGATAACTCATTATCACGTGCTCAGCGGTAAAGGAAAACGTCACGTGGAAACCTGCATATTTGCGAAATAATAACCAAACAAAAATAATTCGACAATATGTGAAGTTTGCCTAGCAGTGGGACATGTATTGGGCTGATATTTTACTATGATCAGAAATCTACAGCCAAACCTTCCTCTTGAATCACTCTATCTAGTAAAAAAACACCGCATCAAGAACCGTTGCGTAATTGTAAAGATCAAAGCATACATAGGGACAGACAGACAACGGGAACTAACATACGTAGTAAAAAAAGATACGATTTTAGACACAGCCATTTTATTACGTTTCGATGATATTGTATAATATTAAGTTGTAATCACAACCAAAATTTGATGATACATTGGTAACATTTTTATAAAATACTTTGTACCTGTAACAAATTATGCAGTTTATATGTATGTACTTATTGTTTACAACAGTTTGCTATTTTATTCTTTAAACAGTATAAGAAATTGCATTTCTTAATTTTTACTTACATATAAATGATGTTACACGTCTAATGAGAACTTTCATTGAAAACAGCAAACATCACAGATAAATATGTACATAAAAATAAACATTTTAATAGTACTTCATTTTGATTAAAATATTCTCTATAAGAAATCTAGGTTATGCGTAATATTTTTTTTTTGTTATATTATAACTATTATAAAACTGGCCATAAATGTAACCATTCAACTAAAACGATATATAGGTATAGGTATTTATACTTAATTGAACTTTGTTCATTTCTTATGATATTTAATTGTACTTAATATATAATTTTATTTAAGCATCCATTAAGATTGCATTCATATAGTTGTAACTTTTTATTATCTAACAGCTTTTATAAGTACGTTAATCTTTCGTCTATAACCTTTATTCTCTACTGGACATATAAATGATAATAGTTCTTCATTGTTATAAAATGTGTATGGAATAAATTATTCGAATATAACATAAAATAATACAGTGCCAGAGGCTGAAAAGACCATAAACAAAACAATAAATCACAACATAAAATAAAAAGTAGAGAACGTTTACATCAAAGGTAAATCCTTTCTTTTCGTAAATTAAACCCAAACAATTTTTGGTTTTTATTTTAATAGTAGTGTAAAAGTTTTTAGATGAAATAGCATAAGTGTGATTCCGGTTAGTTACTAAGAGATGATTTAATGTTCACCGATTATTTTAAGTACTTTATGATTCTATGATAAGGAGAAACTGCGTTTTGTTCATGGCACCATACAATTTTCTTAAATATAAAAAATGCAAATTATTGGATAAATCACGTATGCATACTTAATGAAGTTGTACAATTTTAACTATTTTAAAACCTCTATTACTACTCCTTTATTACTATAAGGCACAAAATTAGGTATATGAGGGATGTTTTTCAAATGAACAAATGTAAGAGGGGCCCTTCCTCGGAACATACTAGTTTACCTCCACGGACTCTACCGATAATCCCGTCTTGGAAGCGGAGTCTTCGGGTGGTTCTTCAGAAGAGTCGGTCGCCGTCAGCTGGAGGCCGTAAGTGCTTATCATCTCCAAGACCACGCCGTTGGACCAACCGAAGCCGGTCTGGACCACGTACTCGCCGCCGCCGCCGATCCTGCCGGGCTGCTCCACGTCGTACTTCTCGAACATCTGCTTGTTCTCCGTGAAACCCTTCAGGCACGCGCGCACCCACGTTTGGGCCACTTGGAAGGCCATCTGCCTCGCCTCGTTCGACCCGAGCGCCTCCAGAGCGTTCACCGCTATGCTGACTAGCGGCGGCCACGCGTTAGGAAAGTCCCACTGTTCGCCACTCTTTATGAGGGACGTCGGAACACCGCCGGGGAATTTAAGCCCCTCGGAGTCACGCAAGTATTTCATGACGCGAGGCGCGTGCTGCTTCGCGCGGTGAGCGTCCACCGCTTCCATCCACAGCGGTGCGAGGTTGCTCGGATAGAAGTACTTCCGATGCCCTTTGCTGATCAAATTGTAGTCGTACCATATCCCGTCGTCTTCGTCCCACAGCACCTCGTCTATTGTCCTGCGCCACTGCTTCGCTAGGTAAGCCCATTGGGCGCCCTTGCGAACGTCTCCTAGCAGGCCCCTGAAGTAAGCGGCGTTCTGCAGTGCGTTCGCGAATATCGAGTTTAGGTCAACTGGCACTATGTCCCTGGTGTGGACCGTGCTTAAATTGCCTCTGTTCCCACCCTCGGGCCCGATGAACCAGCGACTGGAAAAGTCCCAACCACTCTCCGCTGCGCTCTTAATGTCCACGTAGAACTCCTTCCTCCTCTCATCGCTGTCGAACTGCTGTGCCGTCGTGTAGTCCTCGTAATACGACTCCGGACGAGGCCCTAAACTCGGGGCATAGTATCGCAACATCGTGTATGTCTTCCTACCTACTTTAAAGTTGATCGTCTGCGTGTCGAGCCAATATTTTAGCTCGCTCTCCAACGCCTCTATGTTCGCTTTGAGGAAGGCGAGGTCTTTCGTCTTCCGTATGTACAGAGATACCATAGCCGATAGGAGGGGCGGTTGGCTGCGCTCCTGGTAGTACCACCTGCTACCGTTCGGCACGTGTCCGAGGGTCTTCAGCAACTGAATGAGATTCTCGATCATTCCGCGGGCGGTGTCGTCCATGTCGCAAATCAACAGGCCCTCTATGATCCAGTAGGCGTCCCAGTAATATATCTCGGTGAATCGGCCTCCAGGTATAATGAAACCGTTCGATATTGGTATGAAGCTGTACCGCTCCGGTTTCTCGAAGACTATCGGTCTGACCTTCCGGCCGAGGGTTGGCCAAATGTCGTTGATGTCCTTGGCGAATTTCCTGAGAGCGTCGTCCTGTACTTGGGCTAGGAAGGCAGGGCTGTCGCTGAAGTCGGCCGGCTTCCACACCTCCAGCTCGTTGCCGGGTTCGAAATATTCGTCGACGAACGCCTGCAGCTGTTCCTTCGTCGGGTTTCCGTCCGTTCGATTGCGCAGCTGGTCGAACGCTTCCAGTGTCGCGTTCTCGCTCTTTCGAAGCTGCAGGTCGACGAACGTCTTGGAGTCGGGGTAGAGCCTGGCCATCTGCATGTGATGTAGCAAGTCGCTGTTGCAGTACACCGGTCTGCTGCACGACGGCGGCAGTTCCTCGGCTCCGATTATGCCCGCTAACGCGATGACCGTCGCTAGGAGCATCTGAAGAGAAGAGAAATTGAAAATCAGTGCGATACGAAAATTGCACAGTGTATATTTATACGGGGGTAAGTTCAGAAGCAAACAATTAACGATAGAGTGTTTATTTTTATGTAACAAGATGGCAAGCGAGCTGGCGGTACACCTGATGTTAAGTGACAGCCACCGCCAATGAACATTTACAACACCGGTAGAATTGCAGTTGCGTGGCCACCTTTTTATTAAGCGGGCTCCGTACACAAGTTATGATTATGGTTTTAATATAAAGAGCTATACTATTTTCTAATCCTCGACACAAATATACCAGATGATAAAATGAAGGATTCAGAAAGGTGAACTCTTATCCGCGCCTTCGGCAACTCGCAATTTATTGGGTCAAAAATAAATACATACTATCACCGAAAAAGAAAACTTCAGCCGACTTCGATAACATGTTGCGGTGTGAAGAGTTTATAATATTAGAACGATGCACACAAAACAACAAGATTAAAAAAATTACGACGCATACCATACAACTGAAAAATATCGTAAATATGGATTGTAACAAGCCGCTTGTTGAAAATGGTGCTTGTTGTTCTTGAAATAGTAGAGACCTGTGGAGGCTTATACTTGGATTGGGTTGCTTAGCCTGTGCCATCACAGACAGTCAGACTACAGACAGTCTTGGTGATAGCTTATACTCTTATTTGTATATAAAATAGTTAAACCACAAACATTAGGCGAGGACATACTGCTAATGTCCGAACTTAAGCTACATTTATTACATATATCGTTGTTTAGTTGACATTTTAGTGATTTGAAATATGTAGTCGTTCTTTGGTTTCATTAATTAAAATACACATTTAATTTTCGATTAGCATCGGATAACTTAAAAAAGAAACTTGAAAATACGATTGTTGATGGCGCAAAAAAAAAAAAGTTTTAATCGGACGGTCATCGAAGTCACTGAATTAATAAGAATATAGGTTTCATAATAAAAAAAGAAGAGTAAAAGGGTCATTGCTCTTGTTATTTTATGTTGTCGGCTTAAGTACAACATGAAACAAACAAAAAGTCTTTTAATTATCCACATTATTTTTATTAAAGACGAGGAACCGCCCATAGACATACGTATAACTAATTCTTGCATTAGCCGCTTCTACCAAGTGGGGTTGACCATTTATTACAGTAAAATAAACAGTACCTGCAATTATTTATTTATTATTCATTAAACTATTTTCTTACGGCTCACTGTTTTTCAATTTATTATAAATAAATTTTAAAAATAATAACGTAACGTAAAGTCGCGAGAAACTTACAAATCATTTGCAGAATATTTTGACTCTTTTTGGTGCTGCGGCTGTATTTATTTTGAGGGAATTGACGGCGATTTCATATCGTCCGAAATGTGCCAATTATTTTATATAAGCTTATATCTTTTACTCTAATGGAATACTGAGGCGGTCTTCAGTTCAGAGAAAGATTTTTTAACACAAAGTTACAGCCACCTATAGCATCATAGCTCCCATCGAGCTCAAGACTGAGGTGAACAAACTTTCTTACCTACCAAGCTTTATAATATAGAGTATGTATTAATTTTTATAAAACTCATAAAAAAATCAACTCATATTTCCTTGTAAAGATTCTACTGTGACCTAGGAAGCGTACCAGGCTATCCTCTTTAATAATTTCTGCACTCTCCTATTTAATATTTTATAGAAAAATAATTAATGAAACTACGGTTCTATGGTTTTAACACGTTTATTCACGGTCACGGAACGGAGTATGAATGCAAATTATTCGTAATCGGTCGCAATGTAAGCTTCAAATGTACGCCATGAATATTTAAAAATAGTTGCATTTACTATCCTATTTACATATTTTTACCGGAACAATGGTGATTAAATGCCGTACTTACATATTATGTGATTTAATGGTTTTCTTATCTGACCAGTTGACGTTTTTATACTCTACTTGTGTGCATCGTAAAAACTTTCAACCTATCTATTAATAAAAACTCCTTTAAAATACTAAATAGTATTTATTTGTAGTGATTATGGAGAATTTATTTATTTGACAACTGGTAAAACTCATGAGCCACGTATTTTTCTCCTGATCTTATCCCACTCAATTATTTAATTAAATATACTCGAGCAACCAAAGTTCAATTACCGGTCCCGACAGCAATGAAATAGTTACAATTCTAAAGTGCTTAAATGCGCTCAGCGGTGAAGGAAAACATCGTGAAGAAGCCTGCATCCTTTCGTAATAATAACAAAAACAAAATTCGAAGATCGCTGTACAGGGTAGGCTGTTACTCTATGCCAAAAAGGCGAAGTCGTCACATTAGTTAGGTTCTTTTTACGACCAGCCGCCTCCCTGATGCCGAGACCTGCGTAAACTAATATAAAAGTATTTATATTTATTACATTACAATTTTCTAATAAAATATTAGGAATATGTAATGTAATATTTATATACAATTGTATTTATATTACGGATAAGTATTTTGCAATTCGTCCGATGTCAGGGTTGACTGGGAGAAGACGGCATTGTTCCATTAGCAAACCGTCGAACTCTATAAATCGTTACCACAATCCGCAAAGACGTATCGACGGTCAAATTAAAGGGGTCACGGCAACCGAGAGGGCGCCGCGACAGAATCCTCTTGCTAAAATCTTCATCGTAGTTCGCTAAACGGCTGCGATCAAGGTTGACTATGTTTGAATTACGAATTGAGTTACTTTACTCAGTTGCACATAAATGTTAGCAGTGTATTAACTAAGCCTTTTGTTTAGTTCTAAACTGAGTATTGTAGTAGAGTATATGGACTCATACTGATACATTGACCTCGATAAATTAATTGTTTTAAGTTTTCTATCCTTATTTTTTGTCTGTACGCATTTATTTTTCGTTCGGATGCGAAGATTGTCGAAGCTTACATATTATTTGACATCGCCTTTTATTATCTACTCAACATAATACATAAACTATTCAAAAAACCATATAACAGAGCAGTAATTGCGAATGATGGTACCGTAAGTTTTCAACAAATACTTCGGCTAAATTCGTTAGTCTGTGTTGTTAAAGACGCGCCACTTTGGGCTACCATATCGGATGCTAGTAGCCGATTATATTGTAATAATTGAATTTATATAAATATAAGCCATTGCGTGAATGTTTGCGTATGTTTGCAACCATTCATCAATAAAATTATATGTATTACCTGTAACTAATACACCTGTACAAGCTTAAATACCTAGTATTTTGTTTATAATTTAATATTTATAAAACAAGTGAAGAAAAACTTATAATTTCCTCAGTTTTAATTATTTCACATGTCATGCTTTTTCATCTTCATAATCTAAATTTAGGATTAAGTTCTGTTACGAAGGAATTACCACGGACGAGTCCGAGGTAGATGTACGAAGATGACCGTCGTGAAGTGGAAGTATATTATGTATATTATTTATATACTTATATAAACTTATATTTATGTATATTTTCGCGTTTCGTTTTGTGAGTAAGGCAACCGCCAATTTTTAATTGTTGGCAACGTCTCTGCAACCCTACAAGTGTTTGTAGAGGTCCATGGGCGGCTTTCATTGCATTGAATTAACGAAGCCGATAGGCTTGTGTTCTTTATCTACATATTTTCTTATTTTTTTTATTTTAAATTCCATGCGGTTGAAGTCGCGGGGCACAGCTAGTTTTACATAAAAATGTTGAAAAAGAGTTCGTTGTCAAGACTTAAAATGTGAAATTATTCTTTCACAGATCGGATAGGCCAATAAATATTTTTATCAAGGCTATAAAAGTATTACGGAAATTGTATCCAAATATTCATGGAGCGAAACACTAATTTAGGAACCAGTTCTTACAGTAAAAAATATTAAGGCGATAAAAAAAGCGATTAGAGCGAAGAAACCTGATCAACGAATCCTTAAGGTCAACGAGATTAATTGAGTTTATAAAAAACTTTACAACTTCTTTTTTTAATTATGTACACCGCTTGCTTAAAAATAAATACCTCCTTGTCGAACGTTAATTAATTACTGTCAATGTCCAATGTCCCATCATAAGGATCACATCTTAAGAACATAATTTATGAAACAAATATAACCATCATCATATGCTTTTAATTAGCTCTATTTCAAAGACAAGTTTTCTTAGGCGAACTCATATAGAAAAAATCAACCCTCGTAGTATATAGTATTTTCGCTGAGGCAAGTTTAGGAATATAACTTTAAAGCAATGCTTTATAATCAACTGTATATCCTATTTCTCAAAGGTGTGGGTAGTGGGTACGCCCGCGCCACTGCGTACTTCCATAATTCTTCATTTAATAATTTAATCGCAATTTGAAATCTTATGTTTGCCACTATTGGTGAAAAGTAACAACGTATGTTTTCATAAAAAGTTTCGTAAAAATATTCTTATAGATAATGTATGATCACAATGCCATGTATCGATAATTGGTTTAAATGAAAGATCGCGGAGTAGACTGAAAACTGTTATATTGATGTCTTTCATTGATAAATACTTTCGAACACATTAATATTTGTATATGACCATTCAATGATTGATCACGCTACTGTGAGATAATTTCGCTGGGTCAACTACTGTAGTGATACTGAAATCAGCATTTTCAATTCACTGCTAACTATGTTTTAACTTAATTCCGTGGTGTGAGGACCTGGTGATCTAATACATTGATCGTAATACAGATTTACACCTACAATAGACACCAGCTCAGCACAATTACTTGAGTAAATTTTTTACTGAAGCTGTACCAACCATGATATTGTATCGTCTTGTCATGTATTGTGAGGAGAAATAAAATAAATTATTATAATATTATTATTATTATCTACTGTTTTTATTTTGGTAGGGACCACCCAGCGGCATCTGCTGTTGCACGAATGAATATATTACTTCATTTCATGCTTCTGTTGAGTGAGGTAGCCGAGGCCAACTTTTTAAAAAAGGCACAAAGTACTAATGCGTCTGCCACCCTATGGTTG